CGACGTCGACCCCCCCCCCCCGGCTATCCCCTGCAAACAAACAAAAGCCATGCGCGCGCACTCGTTTATCAAAAACCATAAGTTCTCAAGAACCCCAAATTTTCAAAAATCCCTTGCAACAAATGAAACGCAGTGCGCGCGCGCGCAAGTCGTCGCGCGCGCGCATGCCGAGATCCTCCGCACACCTCATTGGGGTCGTGCGGATGTCAAATTTAAAAAACACCGGGTCTCGCAACGCTGAAGTCGATGAAAAAGTAGAGGAGGAGAGAAAAAAGAAAACGCGCTTTTGCGAATTCTCCAGAAAACAAAAAAAAACTGACAAACGGGCTTCGCGCGCGCGCATGCCGACATCGTTCGAACGCCCATGCGCGCGCGCCGTCGCGAGAATCCTCTACGCGAAATGGGACGAGGCGCACGCGCGCGCTTCGTCGCGCGCGCATTCCGAAATCTAATTCAAAAACCTCGAGCGCCGCAACGATTGCAGAACCGAACGCCCCAACTGCATTCAAACACACATGGTTTCGTAACATCAACTTTCAAGAAAAAGCTCGCGCGCACTCTCGCGAATCCTTGACGCAATCTGCCAAACTGGCCACTAGCGCCGCACGCCGACACCAGTCGCGCACCCGCGCCCGCGTGCTGAGGGGGGCACGGTCCGCGCCAGCAAAAAAAAAGCACGCGGGTCACACTCGCGCGTCGGCCGCGCGCGCATGTCGAACTCCCTCCAAAACCTTCGTCGCCGACGCGAGGGCGCCGTCATCATCGTCGGCGCGATCAGCATCGACGCCCGCGCTGGCCACGCCTTGGTCGGCGCGAACATCGTCACCAGCATCGCAAATATTATCGTCGCGTCTACCGCCGTCGACGTTGCCCTGATAGCGCGCCCGCCAGCGTCGCCGACTCGCAGCGAAGTGCCCGCTGGGATACGCCCAGCGGACAGCGCCACCGCGGCCGCGCCGGCGGCGCCAAACCAGCTGGACGCCGCGCGCGCGTGCCAGGGTCGGCGCGGCCGCAGAGATGCACCAGCCAACGCCAAGCACGCATCGCAATCGCCACCGCATGGGCTTTGCAAGCCAACTTGCGGGTGGGTGGGTGGGATGTTTGCATGAACGTGGGATGTGACAACTCGCTCGTGAAACTCAATTCTCCTCTTGTACCCAAAAAATAAATGCCCCCCCCCCGGCTTAATCGTGACACACTTTTGGGTTTTAAGTTCCATATGATTATGCCCCATCGCCCATCTTGAATATGAGTTCGCATCATCCCAGCCAAGCCGGGTTCGATCCCCCCCCCCGCCATCCTCTGCAAAAAACTACGCGCGCACACTCGTTTACCAAAGATCATAAGTGTTCACGGCTCCATTGCAAAACGCGGGACGAAGTGCACGAGCGCGTCGTCGCGCGCGCATGCCGAAATCCTTTAAAAACCATCGGCTTCGTATAAATTTCAAAATCGAGTGCCCAAAAAACATATTAAAAACACATGGTTTCGCAACGCGGATTGTTTTCACCGGGAAAGAAAACCCACGCGCGTCCATGCAAATTCCATGACAAACCATCGATTTTTCAACACTTGCAGGAAATACGACGAAAACGGGATTCGCGCGCGCGCACGTGGAAATCGCCCGAACGCCCTCGCGCGCGCGCCGTCGCGAGAATCGTATTCGAAAGAAAGGGGCGAAGTGCACGCGCGCGCGTCGTCGCGCGCGCGTGCCGAAAACGATTTCAACCAAAAAATCATGTGGTTTCGTAACGATGTCAAAACCGAACGTCCCAAAAGCATTCAAAAACAACTGGTTTCGCAACATCAGCTTTCAAAAAAAAGCTTGCGCGCTCGCTCTTGTGAATCCTTGGGGGAACCAATAATTTGCAACACTTGTGCCCGCTGGGATGCGCCCAGAGGTCAAAGCAACCGCGGCCGCGTCGGTGGCGCCGAACCAGCTGGCCGCTGCGCGCGCGTGCCAGGGCCGGCGCGGCCGCAGAGTTGCACCAGCCAACGCCAAGCATGCATCGCAATCGCCACCGAATAGGTTTTGCAAGCGAAGTTGCGGGTGGGTGGGTGGGATGTTTGCAAGAGCATGGGATGTGACAACTCGCTTGTTAAACTCGACTGCGCCACAAAGACATGCACCACACTGGCTGCACCCAGACTGCACCGTATAGATTGCAAGAAATATGATACCCCCCCGCTTGCAGGGGGTAAGAAGGCGTGTGAGACATGTGGCTGTCCCCCTAACACGCCCCCCCTCCCCTGGAACCCCCAGAACCCCAAGACGGCGGATGAGGCCGAAAACAGAGCGCCAACACAGCGCCAAAACCGCCCAAGAAATCATCAAGATCGCCCAAGGTAACCCCACGACGACCCGAAATGGGTTCGAGACGGCCCACGATGCACCCAAGACGGCCCAAAAGTGCTCCCAGAGGACCGTCGAGAGGGCCCACAGAAGCAAAAGTCGCCCATGTCCCGCAGGAGAATTTACATTGTTCGCATAAAGTCTGACCTAGGCCAGAAGAACACCCCTCAAGAACATGAGACCCTCCGTCGCCAAAACAAACAAAACATCCAAGGGTACCCTCCCCAGCATGCACAAGAGAGAGAGAGAGAGAGAACGCGCGGCACCGCCGGGGCCCTCTGGGCCTCGTGAGGGGTGCTCTGGAAGCCGTGGGGGGCCTCCTTGGAAATCCTGGGCACCTTGGGCCAGGGGCACTTCTAGCAACGCCCGACAAAAGCCCGGGACCCCTCCAGCACGACGATGGCAGGATGAAGGCAAATTTCAAATGAGGATGCATGTGGGGACATCTGAAAGCCGGCGGGTCAGGAGGATGTATCAGACGCCGCGGCCCTTCCAAAGCGCTCTGGCAGGTTCTAAAACGATTGAACCTCATCGTAAGTCGGAACTGGGCGAGTTGAGACAACGGCAGCTCAAAACCGATCCCTGGACCCCCCCTGGAGTCCAAACGCACCAGTTTTCCAAGCTGCGCCCAGCAGTGGCGACGAGGGGGCCATCCGAAGGCGAGCTACCGTTGTCCTCCTCTGACTAAGCCTGCTTGAGAATAATCGGAACCCTCCAGGATCAGCTGGTCCGCTCTGGAAGCCATGAACACACAACTATTTGGCGTCGCGGCCACGCGCGCGGCGTCGCGGCGTGGGGAAAGTCGAAGACGCGCGCGCACCAGCCCGGCTCACGCGCCACGGAGACGCCGGATCCTCCCATAGGGGATCGACAGCGACACTCACGGGTGGGCAGCCGTGAGGAGACACACGCGGGAAAGAGGAAGGAAAGAACGGGGAAAGACGAAGCAGTACCACAGTGCCCAGCCAAAGCAGCAAGCGAGGCGCAGCAGGGAAGCAACAGTGGCAGCCACCCATGGTAAAGGACCAGCCATGAATAGGTGGTGACGTCCGAACCCTACCCCTCCAACCACCGAGTCTCCTGAATCGATGGGAGGCGGGAGCAGGGTTCGGATCGTGCCGCGTGCTCGTCGAATTCCAAAACCTACCCCAGCCGCCTATCGAGTTGCCTGAATCGTTGATCGGCGAGGCCAGGGTTCGGATTCCGCCGCCGGGTCGAACGTTCGTCGACCTGGGTCGAAACTGCGTCGAACATAAGTCGAACTCGAGACGAAGTCGAGCCGGAATAGAGTCAAACTGGAATCGAACAGATCCGTTAGGTTGGCATCGGCCACCAAAACGAACACCTGAGAGGGTTTCTCGGGGAGGCTTTCCGAACGAGGCTTATGGCGGTCACGATACCCGAGGCCCGAGTCGTTGAGACTGGCCATGGGTATGCGCGTGGGCTGTCGGACCCTGTGGGAGGCTCCCGTTCGAGAAGGGACCCCCATCCGACAACGAGCACCCACAGCCCCCGCCGTCCCACCCATTGATATTTTGGCGGCGCGCCATGGGGGGAAGTCAAAGGGGGCGGGCCTTCTCAGAGAGCTCGGAATCTCCCCCGGCCTTCTGAGAAGTGTTCTTAGCCTTCCCCGAAGACACAAGCAGCAGACTTCTGAGAAGGCCGGAGGCCGTCTGAGAAGTCCCGCCACCTTCTGAGAAGGGCGCCTCCTTCTTGCTTCCCCCTCCCGCTCGCTGCCGATTGAGGGTCGGATATCGCCGCCGAATGGACACACCAACTGCCGGCGCCTCGCTCTGAGGCGCGGAGCTCGCACCGGCTGGCCCTCGCACCGGCGGGGGCGCCGCCCTCGCTCCACCTCCGCCGCACTCCGCCGCCAGGACTACGAGGAAGAGTCGGGCGACGAAGAGAAACCGGGTCTTACAGTCAACCCGTATAGTAAGGATGTGGGACAAGGATGCAAGGGCCTTGGACGCCCATGCCGAGGCTCTCCGGGCGGGGCTGGCAATCGAAAGTGGTTGAGGACGGACCGAAGATGACCGAAGTGGCAAGGATGCAAGGGTACTCTTGGGAAGTCGATCATGCTTACTTTGCGGGTTGACTGTACATGAACGACGATCAAAAACGGGCCTTACGCGAGATGGCACAGCGACCTTACGCGGTGGCTCACGCGGGCCGCCAGCGCGGCAAGCCACATTGGAGACATGGGCGCTCACGCGAGGCGTTACGCAGGAAGCTTACGCGCCAATGTCGGCGCACTCGACCACTCTTTCTCCCGTCGCCCTGCCTGGCTTTGCTTCCCGCCGCCTGCCGCGGGCCGTGCAGACCTGGGCTGGGTCGAATCGCGAAAACGGATCGGATCGGAAAAAGAATCGGATCGCCAACGAATCGGCACTGCCTTCCGTCGCCGTCCCCAGACCCCCGACGTCGTGATTGCGTGTCGCAGCGAGGACCCCTCGAGGTTTTGACCCCTTCCCCCGGGACCAGCCTATTCGCCAGGAGGCTTCCAGAAGCACCCTGGGCCCCCAAACCTACAGCCTCTGGCAAAAAGTATCCAAAGACCTGGATCCTCGAATTTCCAATCCTGGCCCCAAAGCCAAAAGGCAGCAGGGGCTCGGGCTGGGGCGCGACAGGCGCGGCGCGGGCGTACCGGGACGTGCTTGATGACCTCCTGGTACTGCGGGACGATCACCTGCTTGATCACCTGGCAAGGAGGAGGAAGAGGAGGAGGAGGAGGAGGGAAGATCTAGAAAGAGAGAGAGAGAGAGAGACAAACAAATGAGAAAGAGAGGGAGGAAGCGCGAGGAAGAGTGAGAAAGAGACGAAGAGAGCAATAGAGAAAGAGAGATAGACAAAGATACAGAGAGAGGGAGATAAACAAAGCAAGAACGAAAACTACTGGCATTGCTCAAGGTGGCCCTGGCCCAAGGTGGCCTCAGCTCTTCCCAGGGAGGCTCCCACGGCCCCGTGGAGCACCGCTCACGCGGCACAGAAGGCCACAGGAGCCCCAAAATGGAGCGACAAATATGGGCGCGCCTCCGAAATATTTGATTACTGCAGGTCCGTGCCGTGTCGACCATGGCGTTGGTTCCTGACACCGCGCTGGATCGTTCAACCTTGAACGATCGGCCGTCACCGCAACGTCCGATCGTTCAACATCGACCGATTCTGGGCCGCCGTCGGCGTTCAACGTTGAATGTCGGCGGCGGGGTCGCCGCCGGTCGACACGACGCGAACCTACCGTACATACGCATGCACATGCAACATGCATCCATCCATACATACACACATCCAAACATACAAACATAGACACATGCACACCCACATAAATATGTACACATACATACGGAAGAGAGAGGGGGAGAGAGAGAGAGAGAGAGACACGCATACAAACACAAACGCAAACACAAACACAAGTACAAACACATACACATACACAAACACACACACACACACACACACACACTTTCGAGCGTTCGCGGGCAAGGTTCTCCTCGTGTCGGCTGATGTCGGCCGACGCGCGCGCGCGCCGATCAGAGAGGTGGAGCTGGCGGGCCCTCACGGGGCAATGGCGCGGCAGACGCAAGGCCCTCACGGGCCGAGGCGGGGCAAGGAAGTCACACGATGGACGAGTGGCGCACAACCCGGCCGGAAATAGGAGGGGCGGGGGGTGGGCCAAGCAAAGAGGGGGAAGCGAGGAGCGGGGAGCGACAGCGGACAGCCGAAGGAGGGCGACGGACGGACGCGAGGGACAAGCGGGCCGACCGACAAGGGAGGGGGAGCCGCGGGAAAAAAAGAAGCACCACACAACACACGGGCAAGGCAAGACACGGAGAGGGAAGGAGCCAGCCGAGGAGGCGAGGGATGAGGAAAGGAGACACAACTCGAAGGCAGCGGGGAGGAAGGAAGGGGACCACCGAGCGGCCGGAGGCACGCCAGGTGGGCAGCGCGACAACAGAAAGAGGCCGAGCCTCCGGAGGAAACGGCGGGGCGAGAAGGAGGAAGAGAAGGCGAAGGAGGGGGAGGAGGAGGAGGAGGAGGAGGAGGAGGAGGAGGAGGAGGAGGAGGAGGAGGAGGAGGAGAGGAGTCGACGACTCATGCACAATAATTCCGATTCATGCACGCTGCACTTCCTTCGGGGCGCTCTTGGCTGGAAGAGGCAGCGGACGGAGCCTGAAAGAAAGGGGGCGCAGCGCATCGCAACCGCATCGTCCGCCAGCCAACACCATCAAAACAAGACGGCACATCGATCAAAGCCATCAAATCAAGGGACCTCATGAGGTCCCAAGCTGTACAAAACGAAGCGGAAGCGCAAGTGTGCAAGGAGTGACAAACCTGGCGAAGCCTCGTATGATAGTGAGGATGGCGTGCATAAAAGACTGGGCCGCAAGCTTCAAAACGCAGCAGTGATACAAGCATTGAGTGGCAAAAAAGGCGAAGCCTCGTATGAGAGTAAGGTGGAACGACCGCGCAATACCACGCGAAAGAGCCAGCATGCAGGGACTGACATAGGAGGCGAAGCCTCACAAAGGACGCAGTGTAGCTCCATCATCAATGATTCATGCACGCTGGACTCACCGCCGCGCGCTCTTGACTGGATGAGGCAATGGACGGAGCCTGAAAAAAGGGGGCGAAGCGCACCTCAGCCCCTTCGCTCACCGCGGATGTCAAAGATCGGGGATTGAGCGCGCTCATGTCTGGAAGAGGCAGTGGGCGGAGCGAAGGAGACGAGCCTGAGAGGCGACGATGGGGCTGGCCCTGGTGACCATGCTGCGGGCCGCCTCTTGCCAGCCTCCCACTTCGAGGCGCGCCATGTTCAAGAGCGAGCCCAAGTAGATGGTGAAGTCCAGGGAAACCTGCAGCGCCCTCTCAATGCTCGGCAGCATCCTCGCGGGCGCGTCCTCGATCACGTCGCTGATTGTTCCGAGCTTGCTGTCATAATCGCCGACGTTGGCCGTGGTCTGGGTGAACTGGTCGCACGCCTACTCCGGGGTGACGGCGGCCAGGCTAGGCTGGTGGCATTGATCCTCAGGCGGACCGGATTGGCGTACAACTGCCCGAGGAATGAAGGCCGCCCTCTCCATGTTGGCGACGCACACAAGGGGTTAGGGGCAGGGGGGAAGGCTTCTCAGAAGGAGGCTGCTGCTTAGAAGGCGTTGGCGCAATAGACAAGGACCGCGCCTTCTAAGAAGTAGGGGTGCTCCTAAGAAGCCTTCCCCCCTCCCCCTACCCCCTCTGCGCGTGGCTGACCTCTGGCACCGTGCGCCTGAGCATCTGGATGGCATGCAGGCTGCCCTGGTGGAGCCAACGGAGGCGGAAGCTGGATTCGTGGAAGAACCGCGCCAGGATGCAGCGCACCTCGACGTTGGGAGCAGAGGTAGGGCCGTGGACGAACTGGAAGGCCTTCTGCATCACCCCTGGTCCAGGAACTCTCAGACATTCATATGCGCGTTCCACTACTCGCAAAGTAACCACTCGCAAGTTGCCTTGATCCGCCGGGGGAGATCTACGATCTATCACGTGGAGGCGAACCTATGATTTTCGGACGTTTGCGGGTAGGCGCTTTGCGAGTACTGGAACGCGCTCGGTGAAGTTTGGCCTCCACGGGTACCTCGCCCTGGCGGCCAGTGGGCGCGAGCGGCGCCAGCGGCGCCGGCGGCGCCCGCGGCGCCCCCAGCGTGAACTCGAAGACCGCCCAGTCGACGTAGTTGACGCTGCCTGAGGAGCCGAGGAGCACTTCGCGCACTGCGAGTCCAGGTGCGAGGCCCCGTCGCCCTCGATGGAGCCGACGTACCTGTCGTGGAGCGGGTCGTGCTTCAGCAGGCTCGGCGGCGAAACACTTTTTACGTCGCAGCGCGGCAGCGGCGATCCGCACGCGCGTCGGGGCGAGACTGGGACACGGGATCGCGGATTAGCCCGCGTGCAAGAGGAGCGGGAAGGAAGAAGGGCGGCCGCAGAGACGGGAACAGGGCGCGGGGGCACACTCACGCAGTGAAGCTGCGGCAGGTGCGTCGACGCCGAAACCCGCGTTCGCGAGCTTCAACTCCGTCTCCAGGTCCTTCATGCCGATGCGGGCGGGTCACCGGGCGCCCGATGCGCCTGAAGCCGGTGAGATGCCGACGCCCGCCCGCCCGCTTGGCCACCCTGGCGGATGAGCGACGGCGGCTCGCGGCCACGCTCGCGACGCAGGCCGTGAGAGGGAAAAGAAGAACCGACGAAGTGGAAGTGAGCGTGGGGGAAAGGGAACGGCCTCCTGACGGCACGCGGCTTGACCCAGAGCGGCCTGTGTCAGGGCTTGAGCCAAATGGCCGACCTGCGACTCCCCCAAAGAGAAACCTCTTCGTGTTATGCGCAATCGGAGCAAGGGGAGCTGCGTGTGCAGGAGGAGGCGGCAGTTGAGCAGGAGGATGAGCGCGAGGAAAAAGGATGAGGACGAACAGGAGCAGCCGGAACTATAGCAGAAGGATCGGGAGGAACAGGAGGACCACGGGAAGACGGGGGAGAGGAAATGAAGCGGGCGACGACGATGAAGAAAGACTCGGATTCAAAAAGGTGGCCCGCACTGGGGCGAGACGAACAGCGGCAGCAGGAAATGGAATGGGAGGACCGAGAGGAACAAGAGGACCGGGGGAAGGCGGAGGAGGGGAAATGATCGGCGGGGCCAAAAAGAAGCAAGACTCGGATCTTGAAAAGTGCCCCGAACTGAGGCGAGAGCGCCATTCTGAACGACGGGAACAAAGCGCCGATCTGAAAACGAAGCCCACGCTGCAGCGGGAGCTCCATTGTGAAACACCGAAGATAATCTGATAAAAAAGCCCGAAGAGAACAAGCTGCTTGAATCCTGTGTGCCATAAGAATATCAAGACAACAAACTAAAAACAGCACGACAATTTCCGGGGAGAAGGGAGAGTCGTATTCATACATACTGTGTAATTGTGGGTGAGGGGGAGGGGAAGGAGGAGGAGGAGAAGGACAAGGAGGAGAAGGAGGAGGAGGGGAGGCAGGAGGAGGAAGAGGAGGAGGGAGGGGAAGGAGGAGGAGGAAGAAAAAGGAGGAGAAGGAGGAGGAAAAGGACGAGCGCCCTCAACGAGGCGTGGCCCACGGAAAGCACCAGGGTGCCTGAGAAGCTACACGGTCAGGAATTGTTGTTTACCTTGTCGCAGTGGCGGCCCCGGCGACACGCCACTTCGGATTTCCAGCTGGTCTGGGGGGGGGGCTAAACTTGCCCGTCTGAGAGGGTTGTGACCCCCTCCCTGATATTCCGAAATCTGTCATATGCCCTGCGAGCGGATATCGTGTCGCTCCGCTCCGCGGGGCGGGAGGCTGGGAACCGCTCAGGACGTTGACTCTTGGAAAGGGGGACGTGGATAGCGTGTCGCGCCGCAGCGTCGTGGGCCAGAACCAGCGGAGCGACACGCTAAGCCACAATTCCTGCCGTAGGGATCCTGGAAGCCGTCCGAAAACCTCTGGGCGGGGCAGTCGCTTGAGCTCGAATTGGAGTTGTCTTTGCGGTTTCTCGGGGCATACTGCAGCACTCTTCGGCCGTCTTGGGGTGCTGTTTGGGTCTCCCTGTAGCCAGACTTCCTAAATCGAACTTTAGAGGCCCCTTGGGGCGTCTTGGGGGCCTCCTGGGGACCCCTTGGTGGCTTCTTGGTGGCTCTGCTAACTTCTGGGGGTTTTCTGGTGACTTCCTAGGTAATCGGTGCCTCTGGTGGCTTCTTGGGGGACTCTGGGTAGCATGTTCGGGTGTCGTGGGGGACTTGCAGAAAGGGCCCGAAAGCCCACTTGGTTTCGCCTTCTCGTGCGCATGTTGAAACCCTCCTGGGCCACCCTGGAGGTCTCACGGTCCATCTCAGAGGCCCGTTGGGCTGGCTTGGAACGCTTCTGGGAGCATACTGAAGTATCTTGGGGCGATCGTGGGAGCTTCTTGGGCCGTCTCGGGGCGCGGCAAACTCGATAAAAGGAGAACGCTGAAATCCGTCCAAAACCGATGGGGTAAAAATATGTTGGCCTCGCGGGGCCCTCTCGGGGCCCTCTGGGAGGCAATCTCGGAGCGTGTTGGAGGCCTCTTGGCCTATTTCAGCAGATATTTCTCAGGCTGCCGGAGACTCCTCGAGGCTGCCTTGGAGATGACCTAGGGCCGACTTAGGCCGCCTAGAACGCTCTCGGAGGCGATGCGGGGGAAGGGGGGGAAGACGCACAAGAGCATCAGCACAGGAAAACTACCCAGAAGTAGTCTCAGGCCAGACCTGCCCGTACCGAGTGACCAGCACCTCCACCCTTTGACCGCCTCTCCGATTGCTGCCCAGAGGTTTGGCTGCCTGGGGCTCCGAGCGCACAGCCGCAGAGGCAACTCAGCCCTAGCTGACCTCCACAAGCTCCCCCCCGGACAGCCAAGGGCGTTCTTGGCACCCCGACCCGGACCCCCTGCCGGCCACACGCGATAGTGACCCCAGGCCAGAGTGACCTTTGGTGCGCGGGCCTCGGGGGCGCACGGGGAGGCCAGACCCGAGCGCGCAAGCCGCCTCGATCGCACCGCATGCAGCCATCTGGGGACCCTGGCGCCCCCGCAACCGAGGTCACTGTTACGCGTAGCCGGCCCCTGGCGCGGAGCGCTCCCGGGGGGCGCCGCAGGAGCCGAGGCCGCCCCGGGCTGCCGCGGGGGGTAGGCGGAGGCCGGCCCGGGGCCACCTCCAGGGGGGGCCTGGCGCGCGCGCCGCCCGACGAGGGCCCCGCCGAGCAGCGGCAGCGGCGGGCGTGCTCGCACGGGCCTCCTCGACCTGTACAGTGGGCACCTCCCGGATGACCTCCTGGATCTGGACCTGGGGCACCTCTTCGGGAGGCACGCTGGCGCTCGTGCGGAGGCGGTCGCGGGTGTTGGGCCTCTGCTGTCGCTGTGCTCCTCCTCGTCGCCCTGCCCCTCCATCTCGGCATCCTCTTCCTCGCCCCTTGGCACCTGTCTCGCGACGCTCCGATCTGTGTGATAGTCATCATCAGCATTATAATCATCATCATAATCATCATCATCATCATCATGATCATCATCATCATCATCATCATCATCATCATCATCATCATCATCATCAGCAGCAGCAGCAGCAGCAGCAGCAGCAGCATCAGCACCATCCTCCTCCTCCTCCTCCTCCTCCTCCTCTCATCATCATCATCATCATCATCATCATCATCATCATCATCATCATCATCATCATCATCATCATCATCATCATCATCATCATCATCATCATCATTATCATCATCATCATCATCATCATCATCATCATCATCATCATCATCATCATCATCATCATAGTAGTAGTCATCATCATCATCATCATCATCATCATCATCATCATCATCATCATCATCATCATCATCATTATCATCATCGTCGTCGTCGTCGTCATCATCTGCAGCATCATCATCCGCAGCAGCATGCATCATCATCGTAAGCAGCAGCATCACCAGCATCATCTTCATCAGCATCATCATAACCATCGGCATCGTCAGAATCATCATATGCAACAGCATGAACAACAGCAGCGTCGCCATCGTCATCAGCAATACCAGCATCGGCATCGTCAGCATCGTCATCATCATCATCAGCATCAACATCATCATCATCATCATCATCATCATCATCATCATCATCATCATCATCATCATCATCATCATCACCAGAAGCATCGTCATCGTCATCATCAGCATCAGCATCGTCATCGTCATCAGCATCATCATCATCATCGTAATCAGCAGCAGCAACTACATCGTCATCATCTTCATCAGCATCAGCATCAGCTCCAGAATCATCAGCCTGAGCATTACCGTCATGAGTGTGCTCACGATCTCATCATCAGCAGCAGCATCATCATCAGCAGCATCATCATTATCAGCATCAGGAGCACCATCTCCAGCACAATCTCCATCATCAGGGTCCAAACCCACATCATCGTCATACTCCGAATCATCATCAGCAGCAACAGCATCAACATCATCATAATCGTCATCAGCATCATCATAATGATCATCAGCGTGTCATCAGCAACATCATCATCATCATCATCATCATCATCATCATCAGCTTCGGCATCATCAGCACCAGCATCATAATCAGCGGCAGCATTCTTACCGTCATCATCATCATCACCATCATCATCATCATCATCATCATCATCACCAGCATCATCATCAGCATCATCAGCATCGTCATCATCGTCATCGTCGTCGGCAGCATCGTCATCATCATCACCAGCAGCAGCATTATTACCAGCATAGTCATCGCCATCATCATCATCAGCAGCAGCAGCATCGTCATCAGCAGAATCGTCATCATCATCGGTATCATCATCAGCAGCAGCATCAACATCATCAACATCATCATTATCAGCAGCAGCATCAGCAACAGCATAATCATCACCATGATCATGAAATTCATTACCAGCATCGGCAACCTCCTCCCTCCCAATCCTCCCTCCTGTCTCTTGCTTCCTCCTTCCTCAACTGCTACACCGTGGAAATTCCCTTACCTTTGTGTTTTCCCACAACCAAACACGACGCCCCCTTATCTCCATTGAAGCACGCATCACAGCAACTACAGACAAATCGAGCACTATGACAAATCCAGCGACGGGAAAGACCCCACGCAGACACTCGGCACGAGACAAGCAAGCACCATGCATACGATATGGAAGACGCGCCGCACATGGACTCCACTCACCATCAGCTGGGAAGCCCCCCCCTGACGCCCCCTGGATGGCGGGGCTCGCTTCCCTGGGTTGGCTTGAGCACGAGTGCCAGGGGGGCCCTGGCGTTAGGCGTCGCTTATGGGGGGGCGAACACCGGGGGGAGGGGGGGGGGGGGGGAATTCACTTCTTGGGCCCTAAAGGCCCCCACTTGGCTCTTGGGCCCAAAGGGCCCCTTCAGGGGCCCCCAAATGCCCCTCCTCTGCAGCCCCCGCTGCCCCCCCATTAAGCGACGCCCATTGGCAGAAACAGGCTCTGTCCCCCCGGGAGCTTCCCAGGGCCGGCTCTCCGCCCTGAGCCGTTCTGGGGATGGCCCCGGGGGCCTTGGTGGAGGGGAAGCCCGAAGACGGCGAAAAGTGCTCCAAGGAAGTTCCCCCAGGGGGGCTGGAACAGATGGGATCGGAGGATCGCGACGCATCGCCGATACATCGGCGACGGCGGGAGGAAGAAGGACGCGCTCAAGACCGCGCCGCATCGCCGATGCATCGGCAACGCGATCCTCCGAGCCCATCCCCGCTGGCCCCGTTCGGAAGGCCTGGACTCAAGTGACCCCTTGACCACAAGCTGGGGAATCCCCTCCCCTAGACGCCTCCTGGATCCTCTCCACGGTCTGGACCTGAACGACCGGCACCTCCGTGCACGAAGGGGCGCCGCGGGCGCAGGTGACGGGGAGGGTGCGCGGGGGAGGAGGCCCTGGCACCAGAAACGATGACGACGACAATGACGACGACGACGACGAAGACGACGACGACGAAGACGACGACGACGACGAAGACGACGACGACGGAGTCTTCCTCTCCGCCAGCCGATACGGTAGGTTCGTGTGGTGAGGACCTGCGCGCTGGTTCCTGATACCGCGTGGAACGATCGCGGCTTACCGATGGGCCGTTGGCGGCGTTGCGGCGCGAAGCTACCGCAGGCACGGACCTCGGCTGGCCGTCAGCCGCCTTTGGAGTGAGGGGCCGAGGCAAGGCATGGACGGCTTAGACCTTGGTCCACTGCTGCCACGGTTGTGTCACGGATGCGACGACGACGACGACGAGCAACTGCGGCGAAGGCGACAACATCGATCGACGACGACGGCGGCGACGATACCGATGGCTAGGATCGAGGATCGAGCCTGTGGACCTCTTGGGGGCCCTCTTATGGGCCTCCGGGAGCCTCTGGGGGCCGCGGCCCCGAGGAGCCCTGCGGAAGCCTCTGGGCGACGACGACGACGACGACGACGACGACGACGACGACGACGACGACGACGACGACGACGACGACGACGACGACGACGACGACGACGGCGGCGGCGGCGGCGGCGGCGGCGGCGGCGGCGGCGGCGGCGGCGGCGGCGCGGCGACGACGACGACCACGACGACGACAGCGGCGGCGGCGGCGGCGGCGGCGACGGCGGCGGCGCGGCGACGACGACGACCACGACGACGACAGCGGCGGCGGCGGCGGCGGCGGCCACGGCGGCGGCGGCGGCGGCTGCCACGGCGGCGGCGGCGGCGGCCACGGCGGCGGGTGGCGGGCGGCGGTGGCCACGGCGGCGGTTGGCGGGTGGTGGGCGCCGCGGGCGGCGGAGGCTGCGGAGAAAGGGTGCTGCGGAGGAGCTCGGGGGAAGCGAGGAGGCACGGAAGAGGAGGACGTTCGATCGGTCGAGGATCGGCACGGTGAGGAAGCACGGGGAATGAGGAGGAGGAGGCGGGAAGAAAACGGATACGGGGGAGAGGGAGGAGGCAGTAGGAGAGGCAAATGCTCGAACATAGGACCGAGGATCGAGGATCCATGCCAAGCTTTGGGGCTTTCTCGAATTCTGCGGGCCTCTGGAAGCCTCACAGGTGCGCCAGGGATCTTGGGATACCTCCTGACGGGAGAGGGGGGGAGGAGGAGGATGAGGAGGAGGACCAGAGTACACCCATGATGCATCACTGATGCTGGAATACAGCCTCCCGTCCCAAATCCCCTCCTCAGAAATCGCTACAAACCGTCCTTGCCACAACAAGAAGCGTCCCCGCCAAAGACCAGCAACCTATGGACTTTCTAGTCAGGCGAGACCCTGGTTTGAAAAGGATGTCCTGCACCCTCGTAGAGGGTAACATGGGATAGAACCTGTATGATCGTACAGTCCAACGAGGTGCCTGGCGAGATCTTCGTTTTAAACTAATGGCCGCCCCAATATGTGCAATTGCCGAACACGTTTACACGCGCGGCCACAAACTTCGAGGGAGTCTCAAGCGAGAGCCCGAAAGCAAAGACAAAAACTGCCTACGCCCGTGCAGCTGGTGCAGATGTTCGAACTCCTGGACTTAAGCGAGGGCCCCAGGGTTTGAAAGGGAAGCGTCCTACGTCGCAACGGTTGCTGCAAACTTTTAAGACGAATGTGCGCGGCGCCGCGTTTTACCTGTTAATCCTGTGAATTCTCTCTCTGGGGAAGAAGGGGCGACGGCGTCGACGACAACGTGGGGACGAGAGCATGGGGAGGATGGGAAGGTAGAATACGCCGAAGAAAGATGGGGAAGGACGGAGGGTGATATGGGAAGGCAGGAGACGATAAAAGAAAACGGAGATGGGAAAGCACGATACGGGCGAGAAAATCTAGAGTGGTAGGTGTCGGAGAGGATGTCGGAGGAGGAGGGAGACGGATTGACCAGGACTGCGGAGGACGCAAGAGGACGGGGGAGGAAGCAGGAGCACGCTGGAGGATGAAGGAGGGAGGAGGATGAGGAGGATGAGGAATAAGAGTTTAGAGCTGTGGGCGATGGAGGGCCACGGATGAGAATAGAGGAGGATGCGAGGGAATGGGGAGATGGAGGCTTTTACATTATGATTGAACAGGAACGAACATGATGGCGGAGCATGGAGGAGCCTGAAGGAGGAAGGAGCAGCATGGAAACTGACGACAGAGGACGGAAGAGGATGCGAGGATGAGATGCAGGGTAAGGATGAACATGGGACAGGATGGATAAGAACAGGGAAGAACGGAGGAGGAGGAGGGAGGCCGAAAGACACGGGGGGAGTAGGAGGCGGAGGAGGACAGAAATAATGGAAGAGATACTGAAGGAGGCGGAAGTGGACGAGGAGGGCGCGGAAGGAGGAAGAGGGGGGTCAGGAAGAGCATCAGCAGGAGGAGCAGGAGAAGGGGTGAGAAGCAGCGAACGGGAGGGAGCCTCCTTGATGACTTCCCGCGCATCGACGGACTGGGATGCGCCCGCATAGGTGGTCTGGACCTCGGCGCCGAGAACGCGATCGGCCACAGATGATGATGACAGAGATGTGGGGGCGGGTTCAGGCCAGACGTTACTTTTTGTGCAAGGGGCCGAGGGCGCTCCGAGGCCACAAGCATGCTGGGCACAAAACGGGACAAAAAAGTGAAAGACGGGAGAGGGGGGAGGGAAAGACTTGAGTGAGGTAAGCGGCGGCGGATCACACTCGCAGACCACAAACGCCCCTTGCAGAGCTAAATGTGGGGGCGGGTCCAGGCCAGACGTTACTTTTTGTGCAAGGGGCCGAGGGCGCTCCGAGGCCACAAGAATGCTGGGCACAAAACGGTACCACACATGCTAGCTTGGTATATCTGGCCCCCGAGGCCGCCCAAAAAATAATACAGAAATCAACGCGACGTGATAGCTTTACAGATCCTGGCGGCTGCGGCTTAACGACGTGCACTGTCCAGCACGGCGTGCACACCCTCAACGGCGACGAGCGTCGGGGTCCTGCGAGCTTGGGCCCTTTGGGCCGCGTCCAGGTGAGGAAGCCCAAGAGACCCGAGATGAAACTTACCACATCTGTCACATCTAGCACGCGCACACGAGCAACGCGAGGAAAGCTCGTGCAAACTATTCACATGCCAGCCAACGATGCGCCACGTTCGATGCACGCGGCCTTCGTACATACAAGCGTCGAACGCCGCCTCCGACGAGGCCGACAAGAGCAGCCGTTGAACAAAGGGGAGGCGCCATAGCGCACTGCTAGCAGGGTGCTCGAGGATCGTCGGCACTTTGCACTGCACACGCACACACACACACACACACACACGAGAAGCGTTCGCAACAGGTGATGAATATCGCAATCCCACCAGCCCTCTGGGCGTCGGTGGTTTAGAGCGTCTCCTCTTCCACCCCTCCTTCTTCCCCTTCGGGGGGTTTACCCCTCCCCCTACCCCCTCCCCACTGACCTGGACAGGGGGGGCGGGGAGCGGTCAGAGCGTCCAAAACGGCCTCGGCGAGGAAGCCAAAATCATTGAGTTTACTATGGTTTGGGCCCCATTTTGGCCTTCCGAAGGGGGCAACGCTAATTAAGGCCCCCCTCTTCTTTGATCGATTTCCTCCACGATGGCCGCAAGAGGCCCCCAGGATGCCCCAAGAGGCCGCATAATGGCCCAAGATGGCCCCAAGAGGCCCCCCAAGAGGCCCCCAGGAGGCCCCCAAGAGACCCCCAAGAGGCCCCAAGAGACCCCCCAGAGGCACCCAAGGTGCTCCCAGAGGCCCCAAGATGGCCCCAAGAGGCCCCAAGAGGCCCCCAGGAGGCCCCAAAAAGGATCCCGAACGGCCCACAGAGGCCCCCCCAAGGCACCCAAGACGCCGAAAAGCCTCTCAGGACGACCCTCTACTCGCCTGGGCGTCGTTTCTGGACGGGCTGGCGGGGATACGCGAAGCGTCTAGAATTGGCAACATTGACCTGAGCCTGCACCGAAGGACTAAGGCGAGAGAGCCCGAGGGGCCGAGCCGACGACCTGGCGGGGGGCCTGGCGCAAACCGACCAGGGGGGAGCCCAGGCCGAAACCAAGCCCCCGCGACGCAGGAGCTGCGAATCCAGCCGTAGACGACAGGGGAGACCCCAGGCGCAGCCAGGTCGTCGGTAGGGCACCGACTCGGGTCCAAAAGTACACTACCCAAGCCCCGGTGGCGACAAGCCTTGTCGATGGGATTCAAGCGCGCGCCGCGCGCAAGAAAAATGAAGCGAGGCAGGGCGTGGCAGTGAGAGACAGCGCGCGAGAAGAGCCTGCTCAACCGAAGCGCCACCTGCGGCTCAGCTGGGGGGCGCGAACCCGCTCGGGCCGCTTCGCAGCCGGCAGATCGGGTGGCAGAGGCGGCAGCGAACACGCCCCCATAGTCGCCATCGTCGAGATGAGCTCTGCCTCGCGCCCGTCCACGGCGCTGCCCAGCGCCACAACGCACTGCGGGAGCGCGGCGATGAGCTGCTGCATCCGAGACCGCTTGGCGTAGCGCTTGAGGGAGGCGTCGGTGACCCATCTCCCGCGGCCCTCGACCTCCGCCCTCGATCGGCGGCCCGACAGGAGGTCGTCGGAGGCCCCCCCGTGCCTGAGCGCGCACAGGGTCGAGACGCCGCCCCAGACGCCGAGCCCGACCAACGCCTCGCGGAAGACCTGGCGGATCACCGAGGGCGCGAAGCTCCGCGGCGGATCCATCGGAGCGCGGTGGCGCTTCAAGCCCTGGAGGAGGGGCCACAAGCTCGCGTTGTCGATGATGACGCTCTCGTCGGTCACACCCGTCTTGCCAGGGCCGCCCGCCGTCGCGCCGTTCACGATCATGCCCCAGTGCTGATAGCCGTCGACTGACCCCGCGCGCGGCTCCACCAGGCTGGCCGCCACCAGGCGATAGGCCTCGCTGGACCTGAGGTAGGCGTCGAACGCCAGCCTCACGAAGACCGCCTCCGCGAACCTCCTGTCCTGGATCAGGAGGCCGACCACGGCGAGCATCGCCAAGCCCGGCAGCGGGAGCCGCATCTGCGGCGGCACTAGGCGGCCCCAGCCCTTGAGAGCCCGCGTGGCTCTCGGCAGAGCGCGGGGGCCCGCCAGCAAGCGCGGCAACAGGTGGCGAAGGGCTGCCATCGTCATGCGCCCCGTCGCGGCGTCGAACCCGCCCACGCAGAGGTTCCCGAGGAAGACCAGCAGCAGCGCGCCCAGCTCGGCGGCAGTCTCGAACGACTGCCCCGCCCACGTGCACCACTGGCGGAAGCGGGCGGCGTGAGCGTGGTAGAAGTCCTGTGTCCGCTGCGTCACCGCGGCATTCTCGAGGAACGAGGTCTCCCCCCTCAGCAACTGCGGCAGCCCTGGGTGTCGAAGAGACCGCTGGACGTCGAGCGCCTGGGCTGCACTCGGGGACCTGGTCGCCTGCTTCAGCTTCGAAATCCTTCCGCGGCCCCAAGAAGAAGCCCGTCCGCGAAGGGCCATCTGCAACGTTCCGCTCACTCGGAATCAATCGAACGATCGCGCGGATACCCGTGGTGAGACTGACGGCGGCCAAGCGTCGGAGGAGATGTCGCAAGCGCTGTGAACATGTGCGACCCTTGCCGCAACTCAGAGCCAGAGCCAAATTGTCGACGAGAAATAGAACGCGATGCCTGTGGTTACCCGTTTTTCGAGCGGCATGACGAACAGCAAAGCAGAGCGCCCCCCCCCCCCCCCCATCATACTCCAGAACGTTGAGACCCATACGGCGATGACGACTGGAACGAATGATAACCCACTCCTCCGAATCGCACAGCACCGACGGCACCTCGACGAAATCCGAGACGGGGTCGACGTCCCCCTCCCCGAGCAGCACGTCCGACGGCAACGAGCAACCGACAGCAGCATCTTGAGCACCCCCATCACCTCCCCCACCTTCGAACGGACTCTGCACCTCCACTTCTCTGCAACACGGCCCGTGGACGAGACGACGAGAGGGCCCAGCTTTTTCGTGCACGCACCCTTCCCGCACGGCGAGGCATCTGAGGCGTAGAGGGCGCCTAGCCAAGGCACGCGAGAGGACGCCCACATCAACGGCAACAGAGCGGCCACGGCTGAGAGTTTCTGTCGGACTGAGGGCCATAGCTGCATGGGGGTGGGACCCGCGACTTGAATGAAACGATAAACACCATTGAATATCGACAGGCACTCTCTCCGCACGATCATAGCCCACGCGGCGTGACCCACTATAGAGGTCAGGGCCCCGCGCGACGCAGACCCGCGGCTCAAGAGGGCCAGGATGGCCTGCCGCAGGCGGGCGAGGCGGTCGGGCCTCGCGCGCAGCATCCCTGTCTTGCCCGAGAACTGGATGCCCGTAAAGACGCCCTCCGTCTGGGCCTCAGCGAAGGCGTGCACGGGCAAGCCTCTAGAGGTCAGCGTCTGCGCCGGCTCCCGAGCCTTGGCGGTCGCCAAAGCGGCTGACTGGGACACGACGCAGAAGTTGTCGACGTACCCTGCTGCCACCAGGTCGCTCTCACTGGCGAGCGGGGTGGGCGCGGCCCCATCGGCGAGATGGCGGTTCGGCTGGATCCCCACGTCGATCATACCGCGCACCAGAGCCGACCAGCAGAAGTAGAGCGCCCAGTTCCAGCCCATGGGCATCACATGCACGACGGGCTGCAGGAAGGCGCGGCGACCCACGCCCAGGGAGCCGACGGTCTTCAGGCCCACGAAGCGGTTGGAGATAGTGGGCAGTCGGAAGAAGTCCCCGAGGTCGGGCGGCACCGCCATGTGGTAGAAGGCGCACTGGATGCCCCCCTGGGCCACATAGAAGTCGCCTGACGACTCGAGGGAGGCCCAGGCCGATGGGGTAAGCAGCGCGGTGTTCGGAGGAGACTTGAAATAAGTATTCGCCACCCTCGCGTCGAAGACTAACCCCAGCTTGCCGCCGTTCTTCTCGACAGAGAAAATCCCGACGGAGTGGGGAGAAGAAGGACGTGACGCAACAGTCCACTCGATCATGTGGCGCTGCAGCATCGCGTTCAAAAACTCAGCATACTTCCGAGGATCGCGAAGCAGAGGGTCGACGTAGGGTTGCTGAACGCCTAACGACACCTGCAGCTCCTCGACCTCGCCTGCGGATCTCAGCATACTCTGCCTCCAACCCTGCAACTGGGCGGCATCGGCCTGCTGCGCGACGGAGCTGACCTCGACGGGAGGCCCCGAGAGCGCTGGCCAGGCCACGAGGGCCTTGTCGTAGGGTCTGACCCGCGAGGCGTTCTGGTAGCCTGGGGCCGTAGAGAGCACCTCTGCGAGGGATTCTTCACAAAACTGGCGTTGCTCACTGTGCCCAGGAGGCAACTCAAAACGACGGTAATGCTCTTGCAGCTCTCCGACGACAGCGAGCTGCGCCTGGGAGCGGACCACATCCTCACCCGCGAGATGTCCCGCAGCAGAACGATCATGGAGCCAGTTAAGTGCGTCGATACCCTCGTTGCACCACCGGCGCCAAGCCGCGCCACGAGCTGCGCGCTGGCGAGGGCGCCGACCGTTAACGGCGTGAAGACGGTCGGTCGCCCACGTCGAGAGGCGGCAGCGGCAGAGCATCCCGCTGGCGAAGGCCGGGGGCCTGTGGCAGGCCCAACCAAGCCAGGGGGTGGCCCGAGGGGCCTGGGGCTGGGCGAGCTGGGCAGCCCCGGGGCTGGCCCCCCCCAGCTCGCACCCTCAGGGAGCGCCATGGCGCCCGTAAGGCGCGTTCCTCACGCGCCTTGCGTCGTTCCTTCGATACCGCCGCCTCGTTCCTCATCTGCTCTGCGATAAACTGCATCAACGCGGGGCAGATGCACAAGTTACCCTTCGTCTCTCCGGCCCCCAAGAAGTGGCCGACCTCCGTGGACAGAGCGTCCTGGGGTGTGGAGTCCTTCTTGCCCTGCCCCTTGAGCGTGGCGGCTGCCTTGCGAGGTCTTCTCGTCGTAGACCCTCTCCTCGATCAGCTGCAGCTGCCGAGCAAGATACTCGAAGCTGGCCAGCTCGGTGATGACGAGCTGGTCGTACACCATCGACGTCTCCAGGATGCGGCAGATGGTCTCGTGCTGCTTCGCCGCCTCGTCGCCTTCGGCCAGGCCCATGACGGCGAGCCACCGCGTGTGCCACGCGACAGCACCTCCAGCCATCCGAAGCATGAGCTGGAGGACCCAGAGCAACGTCTGAGGCCCAAGCACGGGCCAGTCGTCACGCTCGCACTCAGTCTGCTCCTTGAGCGCGTCGCCGAAGGAGCGGTCGCGGCGACCCCGCGAGTCCATCACCACCGCGAGGACGCGGAAGCCGTTGCTCGGGGGCTCTCCCGCAGGAGGCGTGGCCGTGCCTCCAGCGTGAGCACCAGGAGGAGCGCCAGGCCTGAGCGCCGTGGCCAGCGCATCCCCCAAGGGGCCGGGAGGCGCGAGAGGCGCGGAGGCAGCCCCCAGCGCAGGCGGCGCCGCGGCCACCAGCGGACCCGCCGCGGCAGGCACGGGGGCCGCGAGCGGGTCGCGCAGGAAGGGCGGCCCAGGCGCCATCCCGAGCTCCAGCGCGAAGTCCTCGTGCGGGAGCGCCGCAGCACCGCCTGCCGCCGCCTCGCGCAGCGCGTCCCACACCTGCACCGCCGTGGGGAGCCGCTTGAAGCGGTACACACTCGCCGCCTCGATCCCGTCGACCGCGGCGCCCTGCCCGCTCAGCGGCTTGATGCCCGTGACGTCCCTGGAGAGCACCTGGTCCTCGTGGTAGACGTCGCCATCAGGAGACATGATGAACGCCCCCTGGATGACGAGCCGTTCGTGCCAGATCTCTCGACCAGTCACATTAAACCGAACAAGGTAGAAGCTGCCAGCCGCCATCGGCATCGCATCAGCGAGATGCTGAAGCCCTCCGCCGAACCTGACGGGCCTGCTCCGCCGCCGCCTTCTCGAAGTCGGTCTCCCCGTGGAAAGAGCCCTCCTCCTGCACACTCGTGAGTGCTGAAGGCGCTGACGGCCTCCTCCTGCGACGAACCTCGCGGAGGACGAAGACAGCGGAGACCAGGAGCCCCGCCCCGAAGCCGTGCACGAAGCCGAGACCCCAGCACCACGAAGAGGCGGACGAGACAGGCGCCGCACTCAGGAGCCCCTCCCCAGCAGGGCAGGAGCAGGCGAGGGGTGGGCAGTTCAGCGTCGGTTTGCAGATGCACGCGGGACAGGGATCGGCCGCAGCACGGACTATCACTGCTGTCTGAAGGGAGCGAACGAAGTCGGGCACCGCCTCAACGAGAAACGCTTGCATTCCCTGAAAGACTTGAGCGAGGTAAACGGCGGCGGATCACACTCGCAGACCACAAACGCCTCTTGCTGAGCTAAATGATGACTCTTGGAAACCACCTGCTGGCCTGCTGTTGAGGCGTGACGGTCATGTTTGTTGGTGTCCTGACATGGCAGAGACGGTGGACCTCCATCAGTCGAAACAAATGTTCGATCACAGCACGCACGATGACGCTGCTCACTGACGATGACGGTGCTCACTGACGCAGCACCAGCGGCCAGAGCGCACGAAGATACAACTCGACTTCAGCGCGATGGAATCGCCACGCAGTCGTGACGTGTACAGGAACGCTTCGCTGCTCCAGCGGCATGGCGCCGCATACATCATCCCTCCTGCCAGCGCAAGGGCGCCTCCTTCATCATCCATCCATCCCTCCCCCTCACTGCTCCCCGCTTCTCCTCCTCTTCCTCCTCCTCGTCCTTCCCCCCCTTCATCATCCATCCATCCATCCATCCCCCTCACCGCTCCCCGTTTCTCCTCCTCCTCCTCCTCCTCGTCCTTCCCCCCCTCATCATCCTCATCCCCCTCCTCCTCCAGCTCCTCCTCCTCCTGCTCCTCCTCCTCCTTCTCATCCCTCCTCCTCCTCCTCCTCCTCCTCCTCCTCCTCCTCCTCCTCCTCCTCCTCATCCTCCTCATACTACTATATAGTCCTCATCCTCCTCCTCCTCCTCCTCCTCCTCCTCCTCCTCCTCCTCCTCCTCCTCCTCCTCCTCCTCTTACACGTACCTCCTCTTGAGACATTCCGCGACCGTGCTGTCGGCACTAAGTGGAGTGTTGATTTTCGAGTTCTCTCTAAGAGATAATGCAAACAACTCTTTACGGGACGCAGAGCGCCAGCGCTAGATCTCCAAGGGTTCGTTCGAAGACTTGTGGGGCGCCCCGCATGTCTTCCCCCGAAGCTAGAAACATGTTTAAACTTGTTCCCAAGCAGTGCTTGCACCGGTGGGTTCCTACTTCGCTTCCCAAGTAGATTGGAGGGTATGTCGGGGTTCGCACAGTCACCGTCCGTGGGCGCCTCGTCGGCGCCCCGTGCGCTAACTGGGTATGGTTTCGCCTGGTCGCCGTCCGTGAGCGCCTCGTGGGAGCGCCCGTGGGCGCCTCGTGGGCGTATTGTGCACTGCACCACCTTCAGTTTGCGCCATACCTGTGTGTATATGTATATATATATATATATATATATATATATATATATATATACATGCATAAGGAGACTGTACCCCCGCTCACAACCACCCACCCAAACTGGGGTTATTCTCTCATCTCCGCGTGTGCCAATCCCACCAGCCCTCTGGGCGTAGGTGGTTTAGGGAGTTTCCTCTTCCATCTTCCCTTCTTCCCCTTCGGGGAGGGGTTCACCCCTCCCCCTAACCCCCTCCCCTGGACCTGGACGGGGGGGTCCGCTGGTAGTTGGAGCGTCCAAAACGGCCTCAGCGAGGAAGCCAAAATCATCGGTTTTACAAGGGTTTTGGTCGATTTTAGAGGCTTCCGAGGGGGGACGCTAATTGGGGGACCCCCTTCCTTTGATCGATCGATCACCTCCAAAATGGCCCCAAGAGCGCTCCCAAGGCTCCCAAGAGCGCCCCAAGAGGGCCCCAAGAGGCGCCCAGGAGGCCCCAAGAGGTCCCCAAGGGGCCCTGAAGAGGCTCCCTAGACCCCCAAGAGGCCTCAAGAGGATCCCCGAGGCATCCAAGAATCCCCCAGGCGCTCCAAGAGGACCCCAAAACAACTTCCAAGGGACATCCTAGGAGGCTCTTGTGCACGTCATTGCTATCGTTCCTTTTCATATTTTTCCTCGTCCTCCTCCTCCTCCTCCTCCTCCTCCTCCTCCTCCTCCTCCTCCTCCTCCTCCTCCTCCTCCTTGTCGGCCTACTCCTCCTCCTTCTCCACTTTATCAGCCTCATCCTCCCTCTCCTCCTCCTCCTCCTTTCCTCTTCTCTTCCTCCCCTCCTCATCCTCCTCCTGCTCCCCCTCCTCCTCATCATCCGCCTATTCCCCCTCCTCCCCTTCTCCCTCCTCCCACTTTTCCCACCTGCTGCCCCTCCTCCCCCTCCTCCTCCTCCTCTCCTCCTCCTCCTCCTCCTCCTCCTCCTCCTCCTCCTCCTCCTCCTCATCCTCATCCTCATCCTCCTCCGACTCCTCCTCCATCCTCGCCCTCTTGGGTAAGACGGGTCCCCCAGCCCTTTGCTACTCTGTATGCTCCCTCACTTCCCTGATCACCGCAATTCGCCTGGGCAGCGTTTTTGGATGGGCTGGTGGGGATACTTTTTTGACCTGCGGCTCCAAGGACGATTCCAGAGAGCGGGTCGTATCGAGCATGGGGCAGCACGCAAGAGAATTGCCAGCGGGCCAAATGCCGACGCCGAAATGCACATGCGCCAGAGAGAGCAAGCTTGGGGGGCCAAGCGAGATAGTTACCAGCGGGCCAAAAGCCAACGCCGGAATGCACGTGCGAGGGGAGAACCCCAAAAGGCCCAGCAAAAGCAGGACGGCGAGCAGATAATTGCCAGCGGGCCAAAAGCCGACGCCGGAGAGAACCTGCGGGGAAAATTGAACCGCATACCGACGAGCCCGGCACCCGGTGAAAGCGAGGCTTAAACCAGGAACCCTCACTCACGGAGCAACTAGAGCTCATGGACGGCTGCACGCAACCAGTGGGTTGAAGCACCACTGAGCACGGTCGTCAGACCAAAGTGAAAAACTGGTGGGGATACGCGAAGCGTCAAGAATTCACATGTATAACGCTATGCAGGGTCGTTCACTTTGAATACCAAATACGACCATGCCAGCCGACTGGCTATCGGTCCCCCCCCTTCATCCTTGCCAACTAAAACAACAATGCAATGCACAGGCGCTGATCTACCAAGTGCGCTTTGAAAGAAACCCAGTCAAACAATACCATGCCTGCAACATAAGTGAACATGACAAACCACTTCAAACACCATTGGCTTACACTTACTGCTTGCGCACCAGCTGAAATCACACTGAAAACAAAAATTGTTGGTCAATTTTGCCCAGAGTAGCAATGCGGCCGCACGCGTGCACTTACCGAAACTATGCAACAACCATCGCGCACCCGCCAACGATGTTAAGCAATACGTTGCGAGCCACGCGCGCGCGTCGCCGAGCGCGCGCAAGGCAAAATCCGTCCAGCAACTTCAGCTGTCTACGCGTGTCAGAACAGAGGTCTTCAAACACATACGAAACCTCACAGGTGCTTCAATGAAGGTTCCACCATAAGGTATGAACTTCTGCGGTCGCACTTCCTCACCGTCCTCATCAGCACCAGCACTATGACCATCGCTAGCGTCGTCAGTATCACCATCATCTTCATCACCATAGCCATCGCGCTCATCATCTTCACCGCCGTCATCGTCACCCTCGTCGTCATCATCATTACAATCATCACCAGCAGCAGCATAATTGTCATCAGCATCGTAAGCATCGTCATCGGCATCATCACCATCATCACTATCATGTTTAGCATCGTCATCATGATGACATATCACCGATCATCACCATCACCATCATCAGCATCATCCTCGTCATCAGCATAATCATCATCATCATCAACATTATCATCGTCATCGGCATCATCATCGCCGTCCTCGTCATCGACGCCAGCGTCGTCATAATCGTCGTTGTCGTCGCCCTCGTCATCAGCGTCATCATCATCAGCATCATCATCAGCAGCAGCCTCATCATCGGCATCAGCATCATCACCACCACCACCATCATCATCAGCAGCATCAGTATCAGCATCAGCATCAGTATCATCATCATCATCATCATCATCATCAGCAGCAGCAGCAGCAGCATCACTCGGGACATCGCTTCATCACGCGAGGATGTGGCCAAACATAATGTATCACTGCATGTTGCACCGCATAGCTTGCACCACATATAGCTTCCTACGTTGCTTGCACCACGTAGCCAAATCTTTACACGTCCAGAGTACAATACTCCAGGGAGTTCCACCTTCCCCCTTCCAAAACCATGCCTTCCCCATATTCGGGAAGGGTCCCATGGGCCTGGACGAGAGGGTTCGCGAGGGCTTTTGAAGTCCAAGATGGCCACAGACGGCTCCAAGTGTCCCCCGCAAAGCCCCCCAGGGAACTCCGCAAGATCCCCAAATCGACCAAGAGCAAGTATGGGTTTCGATGAGTTGAGCGTTCTCACAGTTTCAAATCCGATTGGCCTCTGATGCCTCAAGATGGCCCCACGATGGCTACTGAGAGATGAGGAGCCCAAGATTACTCTCAGACGGCCCAAGAGGTCCCCCCTAGAGGCCATCAAGAGTGCTCCCAGAGGGCCCCAAGAGGCAATTGTTCGGCATCCGAGAGGCGTACCCAGATTCCCCCCCACAACCACCCCTCTCGAGCAATTCAAGATCGCCCCACGAAGGCCCCAATACCCCCCAAAACAACCCCAAGAGGGCCCGCAGAGGGCCTCAAGAGGGCCCCGGGAGAGCTCGAAGAGTACTTCTAGCAGGCCACAAAAAGATCCCAAGATTATCCCAAGAGCCCCCAAAGAGGTTCTAAGAACAAGACATCCACGCAGGCACCCTCTTCCTTCTCCTTCTTCTCCTCTTCATTATCTTTGTTCTCCTCCTACTCCTCCTCCTACTCCTCCTCCTCCTCCTTCTCCTCCTCGTCCTCCTCCTCTTCCTCCTCATCCATCTCCTTCCCAGCTAAATTCGCCGGCCCAACGGGCCAGGGCGTGCTAAGATCTCCGGTAACTGGTTAACAGTATTAACAGTATTTCTAGTTCGCGCGCGCGGGGCGGCCCCTGGGGGTCCCCCGGCGAAAAGTACCCCGACCAACGCCCGGTCGCCGCCCGACCGCCGCCCGACCAAGTCTACTCAGAGATGGTTTTCCTTCTGGGTGCGGCCTCTCAGGCTCCCCAGAGCGCGCTCAGAGTGCCCCAAGAGGCCCCCAAGACTGCCCAAGAGGCCCCCGAGACGCCCAAAGAGCGCTCGAAGACGCCGAAGATGACCCCAAGACGGCCCAAAAGGCCCCCAAGACAGCCCAAGAGGCCTCCAAGACGCCCCAAGAGCCTTCCAAGAGGCCTCCGAAGAGAGCCCCAAGAGGCCAAAATCGTTGATTTTCATTTGTTTGTTTCGATGTTTTTTGTGTTCTGGCTTTTTCGGCTTCCGGACGCTCCAAGACGGCCCAAGAGGCCCCCAAGACCGCTCCAAGACGGCCCACGAAGCTCCCAAGACGGCGCCGAAACGACCCAAGAGAGCCCTCAAGACGGCCCAAGTGCCGCCCAAGACGGACCAAGAGGCCCCAAGACGGGCCCAAGAGGGACTCAGGAGGGATACCGAGAACTCAAAAATGGAGCCCTCCGTCCCAGAAGGCGCCCAGGAGGTCCCAAAGAGGCCCCAAGAGGCCTCCAAGAGGCCCCAAGATGTCGCCAAGAGGCCCCAGGAGACTCCCAGGAGGCCCAAAAGAAGCCCCAGAAGGCTTCAAACATGTCTCCCAGGCGCCCCCGAACGGCCTCTCAACAGACCCCAAGAGGCCCCCCAAAGAAGCATCTTGACGACGACTCTATTTCGCCCCATCGAGAGACGACCCCCAGGGAACTGCTTCACCATCAAAACTCCCCACGCAACGCGTCCGAACGACACCCGCCCCCAAGAGCGCAACATGGGCAACGAACACACAGACAAAAACCAGCGATGCCATATCACGGGCCGGCGGAATGAGCGAAGCGATTCAATAACTCCTCCCTGCCGCACCCCCAGACGTCTGTAGGCGAGCCGGGTGGTTCGCCTGAGAATTCTCACAACTTATGAACCTGAAGCTTGAAAATTGCACCTGCGTCAAGGGTGGAAGGCGGGTCGTTTTCAAAATGTGGCTCTCGCCGCAGCGCCGCGCACATTCGTTAAACCAAGGAGCAATGTTCTAGCACTGATTAGGATTGCCAGGACGCAACAGATTCGTTGACTCGCGGTGTTGAAGTCCCGGGACCTGTGTTCTGGCATGGTTTGGAATTGTCGGGGGGGCAACAGTCACGCTGATGCGCGGCGTTGAAGTCCCGGGGATGATGTTTTCCGGAACCTATGAAAAGGGGAACTTGAAGGGAGGGATTGATATAGCATCGTTACCACCTCCGCCTTTGGGTCGCACGTCCCCATCCCCATCATCGCAAACAGTATCATCCCACTCGTCATCATCATCACCACCACCTCCAGCGCCATCATCCCCATCCTCATTATCAGCATGGTCGTCAGTATCATCTGAATCAAGATCATCGTCGTCACCAGCATCTCCGTCGCAATCGTTTTCAGCATCAACACGCGTATCATCGTCGTGATCACCATCATCATCCTAGCCCACATCATCATCCGCAACATCACCGCCCACATCATCGATGGCAGCAGCAGTATCACCATCACCACACGTAAGAAGCATCATCATCATCATCGCCAGCACTGCTACCAGTATCATCAAGACCATCATCACCACCAGCATCATCATCGCGGTAATCAGTTGCATCAGTACCATCATTACCAGCATCCTAATCATCGCCATCATCATCATAACCAGCATAACAACTCTGATCAGTGAGATCATCGTCATCATAACCACCATCATCAGCAGCAACAGCACCATCACCATCATCATCACCACCGGCATCATCATCAGCAGCGGCGTCATCATCGCATTGCAGCACAATGATACTAGTAATTCTGATCTGAATCACCACCACCACCATCACCACCATCATCATCCGCGCCGCGCGGACCCCGCCGCGGCGGTCTGGGCCCCCCGCCGGGGGCGCCGCGTACACGTTCCCCGCCGTCGCCTGGCCGCCGAACGAGGCCTGGCCGCCGAGCATCGAGGAGGCTGCCGCCATCGGGCTGCCGACCGAAGGCATCGTCATGCTGCCGGCCGCGTACGAGGGCCCCGTCATGCTGCCCGCCGCGTACACGCCCTGGCGGCGGGCTGCGCTCAGGGCCCGTCTCGGGGGCCCCAGAGGCGTCCGAAGTCTGGGGAGAGGAGGAGAGGGAGGAGGAGAGGAGGGAGGAGGAGAGGAGGGAGGAGGAGAGGAGGGAGGAGGAGAGGGGAAGAAGGAGGGGGAGGGGGGGGGAGGAGGGGGAGGAAGGACAAGGACGAGGAGGAAATGGGAGGCCTCCTGGGTGGAGGGGTCGTCCCCACGGCCGGATTCGTCTCGATACCCGCGTCGCAGCACGCTCTCCCGAACTGGTCCGGGAGGCGGTTTCGAGGAGCGGAGGAGTGGAGGAGGAGGAAGAAGAAGATGAAGAAGGGGAGGAGGAGGAGGAGGAGGAGGAGGAGGAGGAGGAGGAGGAGGAGGAGGAAGAGGAAGAGGAAGGAGAAGAGGGAGGAAAGATGAGGAAAGAGGAAGGAGAAGGAGAAGGAGGAGGGGAAGGGGAGGAGGAGGGGAAGGGGAGAAAGGAGGCGGGGGAGGAGAGCTCGCATGCCAAAGCGCTGGCTCCAGAGTCGTCAGACAGCTGGAGGAGGGAGGAGGGGGAGAAAGGGGGCGGGGGAGGGGAACTCGCATGCCAAATCGCTGGCTGGGGAGTCGTCAGGCAGCTCCCTGGACTCTGGCGAGCACCCCGAACGCGGTGTGAGGAGGCAGGGTTGGGGAGCCTCACGTACTCGCGCGCCGGAGGTCAGGATGACGTGCGTTCGCGAGGAGACCTCCTCAAAGGCTCTAGCGCGGGCACCGTGGTCGAGAAGGCAACTTCTGGACGGTGGCGATGCTTCGTTTCCGACAGGACGCACATGAGCCGCAGCAGCGATTCGATCGCGCACGGTCAACGGGGAGCGGGGGCGGCCGGAGGCTGGAGGGGCGGAGGGGGAGGAGGGACTGGAGGGGGAGAGCAGAGGCAGTGACTGGTCGGACAGGTTCGCGTCGAGTCGACCCTGGCGCCGGTTCCTGACACCGCGGGGGGCGCTCCAGCTTGAACGATCGGCTGTTTCAGAAACGCTGGGTCTTCTTCTTTACCACCATCATCATCATCATCATCATCATCATCATCATCATCATCATCATCATCATAATCAGCAGCAACATCATCATCAGTATCATCATCATCAGCATCATCAGCCATCAGCATTATCATGAGAATCACCATCATAATCATCACCCATATCATCATCATCAGCAGCATCATCATCGTCATCAGAATCATCATCACCAGCAACAACATCGTCATTATCATCAGCATCATCGGGATCATCATCCTCGCCAGCATCATCATCATCATCATCAGCAGCATTATCATGATCAGCATCGTAACCATCACTATCGCCAACATCACCATCGTCGTCATCATCATCAACAACACCACCAGCAACATCGCGATCAATCTCGTCACCATCATCATCATCATCCATGTCTTCGTCCGCTTCATCCGCTGCATTATCATCAGCAACACGTGCATCGTCATCGTCGTCAGCATCGACATAATCACCAGCACCACACATCATCGTCATCATAATCAGCACCAGCAGCAGCATCTAAATCATCATCCGTATTGTCGTCGTCATCATCAGCATCACCATCAGCATCATCCTCATCATCATCAGCATCATCATCATCATGATCATCGTCACCATCCTCCTCCTCCTCCTCCTCATCATCATCATCAGCATCACCCTCATCATCATCGTCATCATCATCGTTACCACCTCCGCCTTTGGGTCGCACGTCCCCATCCCCATCATCGCAAACAGTATCATCCCACTCGTCATCATCATCACCACCACCTCCAGCGCCATCATCCCCATCCTCATTATCAGCATGGTCGTCAGTATCATCTGAATCAAGATCATCGTCGTCACCAGCATCTCCGTCGCAATCGTTTTCAGCATCAACACGCGTATCATCGTCGTGATCACCATCATCATCCTAACCCACATCATCATCCGCAACATCACCGCCCACATCATCGATGGCAGCAGCAGTATCACCATCACCACACGTAAGAAGCATCATCATCATCATCATCATCATCATCGCCAGCACTGCCACCAGTATCATCAAGAACATCATCACCACCAGCATCATCATCGCCGTAATCATTTGCATCAGTACCATCATTACCAGCATCCTAATCATCACCATCATCATCATAACCAGCATAACAACTCTGATCAGTGAGATCATCGTCATCATAACCACCATCATCAGCAGCAACAGCACCATCACCATCATCATCACCACCGGCATCATCATCAGCAGCGGCGTCATCATCGCATTGTAGCACAATGAAACTAGTAATTCTGATCTGAATCACCACCACCACCATCACCACCATCATCATCCGCGCCGCGCGGACCCCGCCGCGGCGGTCTGGGCCCCCCGCCGGGGGCGCCGCGTACACGTTCCCCGCCGTCGCCTGGCCGCCGAACGAGGCCTGGCCGCCGAGCATCGAGGAGGCTGCCGCCATCGGGCTGCCGACCGAAGGCATCGTCATGCTGCCGGCCGCGTACGAGGGCCCCGTCATGCTGCCCGCCGCGTACACGCCCTGGCGGCGGGCTGCGCTCAGGGCCCGTCTCGGGGGCCCCAGAGGCGTCCGAAGTCTGGGGAGAGGAGGAGAGGGAGGAGGAGAGGAGGGAGGAGGAGAGGAGGGAGGAGGAGAGGAGGGAGGAGGAGAGGGGAAGAAGGAGGGGGAGGGGGGGGGAGGAGGGGGAGGAAGGACAAGGACGAGGAGGAAATGGGAGGCCTCCTGGGTGGAGGGGTCGTCCCCACGGCCGGATTCGTCTCGATACCCGCGTCGCAGCACGCTCTCCCGAACTGGTCCGGGAGGCGGTTTCGAGGAGCGGAGGAGTGGAGGAGGAGGAAGAAGAAGATGAAGAAGGGGAGGAGGAGGAGGAGGAGGAGGAGGAGGAGGAGGAGGAGGAAGAGGAATTTATTAGTACTCCTCGGGCCGCCCGTCGCCACGCTCCACACCGAGGCCTGGCGCGCGACTGAGGGGAGGCGAAGGAAAAAGGAGAGGGAGGGCGGCCTCAGTCGGCCGCTGCAGCCCTGAGGTCTCCAACGGGAGCCACCCCCAGGAATACTCCGCCTCGAACGCGTCCCTGACTGGGGTCTCAAATGAGCCACCCCCAGTAGTAGCACCACGAAGCCCTCCACCAGGGCTGCCAGAGCAGCTGCCAGGAGACACACCAAAGCGGCCCCTGGAAAACTCCTCGACATTGACGAAGGCTGAGGTCTCAAACGGAGCACCCCCAGTAGCACCCGTCGTCTAGGCAAGCCAAAATGGTTTCGTAGTCGGAGGCTGACACGATGCGAAATCGTAGCTCCCAGGCTCCCAGCTGAGCAGGTAGTAAGAAGTGACCGTTCATGCTGGTGCCCTTCGCGTCGTAGCGATTCTCCCTTTAGGTAAAATACCACGTGCCAATTTTCCCAAATTCTGGTGGCCATAATGGCCGATATGCCCACTGCACTCAGCCGCCAGCCCACGTAAGAAATGTTTGCCGACACAGCCGCACCGTAGGCACGCGTGGATCTTCATGTCGCTGAAGTACCCAAGCAGGTGCGACTCGTGAATGGGTACACCCTGCACCATGACGCCCATGTCGCCGATCCTCTGGATGCTACCCTTGACCACTCCGCCCAGGCAAGGCGTCTCCAAGAATGTCTCGAGCTTCCTCCCACTGGCGCTGCAACCACAAGCCGAGCAGTGGAAAGACGAGCCCATGCCAGTGTATACCTGGTGCTCCGACATCGCCACCTTCCGACAGAACTTCTTGGCCATCGAGCGCGTTGGTCGAAGACGTCTTGGCTCCGCCTCTGCCGCTGCAAGGAAAGCCTTCGCCAAGTGCTTCCTCACTGCTCGACCAATCGCTTCCGCATGTTCAACTGCAACAACGACATCACTCGATACTGCACACCTATGAGCCCAGTACGCCGCGGCTTCATCCGCGAGAGCATTGACCAGGTAGTGCTCGACGCTGGTGTTGGTCAGCTTGGCTTGCTCCACGGTCATGTGGCTTTCGATCTTGACCACTTGTACATTATGTGGATACCGTGCCAAAGCCTGCTTCACCTGCAGCCAGAGGTCCAGATTGGTGGTGGGCAGCCGTCCTGAGGAGATCATTGCGATCCCCTTGAGTACATGCCCCGAGTCCGTCACGAAGGTCATGGGCATGCCCAACTCATGCAAGTCCTCCAATGCTCGAAGAAGCGCCGTAGTCTCACCCCTATTGGTGGTCTGCTTCTTGGGGAGCCCACCTCCCCTCGAGTAGAGTAATTTCACATCGAGATCAGGGTCGGTCGAGACCTGGGCCACCTGGTATGACCACCCGATCCTGCGCAATCTCGGGCCTGCTAAATGTTCTCCTCCCGAAGCGTCTCCACCGACCAACAGATGCTCACACGCTCGTAAATCATTCGCACGACCCATGGATTCATCGAAAGGCGAATCGGTCGGGCCCTCCACACTAGTCCAGGTAGCGGGCAAGATACCTCTTAACCAAAGGCACGGCAGGTTCTCGACGTCCTCTTGGGCTCTGCGAGTCAAATTCTGCGATATACTCGAGAAGTGCACATTGCAAGGGCACTGCCAATTTCGATGCAGGTCCGTCTCATCTTGTCCGCAATCGCATCTCTGGCGCGCGGCGGTGTCCAACGCGCAGCTACTCAGAGTTGAAATCCGATGCCGAGTCCAAGACGCGCCCGTCATCACTGCTTCCATCGCGCCCGCCATCTCGTGCTCGCCTTTCTCGCGGAGGGAGCTGAGGCACCGCCGAGCGCCTCGAAGATCTGCACCCTCTTCCACACCTTTGCCATTCCAGTGTCTGCAGGCCCTGTCCCATAGCATCCTGTCGATGGAGTCGGAGATTGCTTCCTTAAGTTCGCTCATGTCCTGCTGGCCTTGCCCGATGATGCTGCCGGGTGCCATGAATCTTTCACCAGCATCTGAAATCCACGCCCATGGTCCGACTGGGCCCCATCCAATGTCCAATAGAGTCGCAATAGTAGCCGATGCAACTCCAGTGATACTCCGCCATCTGTCCTTCTGGGCTCGCAACTCAATCCTCCTGCGCGCTGTCCTCCAGGTGCGACGAGCAAGCTCCAGGTCCAGCCCAGGTGGGAAATAATTGCCATCCAGGATTCAATCAACCTGTGTACGATGTGGTACTGCGGGCCCTTCCTGTCAACACGAAGCTGCAGCAGCGTGGTGAGGCAACGACCTGGCCACTTCTTCGCCAACGTCTGCCCCAGTGACTTCCTCCAACCATTGCTGACGGTTGGCGCTGCTCCAAAAACTTTGCCCGGGTAAACCGCCATAGGTAAAACCCCCATCATCGCCAATGTCCCACCTATCTTCTTGCGTGCAGCCCCTTGTGCAAAACGTTTGACACGATTAAAGCGAGCGGCTGCGCCACGTCGTCGCTGCGCATGCTTAGGTCGCAGGAAGCCCACAGCGCCTCTGTCGATGCCGAGGCCCGTCGCCACACTTGCAATGTTGACCGCGAAGCCCTCCTTCTCGAAACCCTTGTGCGGTGCTTTGCCTAGGTCCGCTTGGTTGGTGACGATAGTGGACTTGGGTGAGATAACCAATCCAGCTCCCGCGCAACCCTTCGCAAAAGTAAGGCCAGCTTGCAAGGCTAGCCCCAAAACACGCTTGCACCGTCCTTCCACTCGCTGAGAAACGTCATCCACCCAAGACCTAGTCGCAACTGCTGGGGCGCCCTGTGCCACTCTGTCCAAAATGTTGCACAGTGCACATCTCGAGAAATCAACTGCTCCACCCAGTCCTGCAATCATACTCTTCTCTGGGGTGATAGCGCCCGAGTAGTAACCGTTGCCCCGAAGGGAGCGTACACCCATATGCAGAATCATCTCCAGTGCGAGGATACTGGGAGGAAACCCGTGCTCGAGTCTTGCTTCGAGAAGTAGCCTCCACTTGAGCGCATCGTAGAACCCCTCAATGTCCCACATCATACTTGCCTGAACCCAGCCCTGAATCGTGGAGAGAGCCACCGTCTCGTCCAAGTAGCTGCGTAGTAAAGCTTCGCGCAGAGCAGATGACCCAGCCACTGCTGCATCCCAATGTCCAGCCCTAGTCTTAGTCCAGGTGGCTCGGTACTCACCTCGACAACTGGACCACAACCTCGCCAGGCTAGATAAGACTCCAATGGCTCTGTCGTCCCCCGACGGCTTCCTCGCGAGAGTCACCAAAACAACAGTCAATTGCCAGGGCCAAGCAACCTCCTGCTCGATCTGCTGGAATAAGTATACCAACTCTTACTTGCCCGACTCAGGTAGCCAAACAAGGTCCTTGTTTCCCAAGTTGTTCGACGCCTTTCGCCGATGACCCTTTCATCTTCCTGATGCCTTCTTCTAACGTGTCCATGTCGAAGACGGGGAAGGGTTTGCCTTGGCGTTGTCCCTGGCTGTAGAGAGTAGCTGTCCAATCCGCTCGATTTCCAAGGACTCGTCACTCCACTTCCCCCGCCATACCGACGCCCGAATGTCCATTGCCGTCAGAGGGTCAAAGGAAATGTTCTGGTCCCTTTCGAACTCGTCCTCAGCTGATGGAACATCCTTAGTAAGACGGAACAACTTCCCAGGCGCCGAAATGCACCGCTCCTCTGCCCATTGAGAGAATGCCAAGTACTGAGAGTAGCACTCCATCCTGTGCATGCTGCTGGCCAGCTTCGCACACTCCTCTTTGCACCTGCGGATGGTGTCCGAGGTCGCCGAGTTAAGAATGCGCAGCTTCCTGCACCAAGAAAGCTTTTCTTTCCGTGGGAGAGTCGCCAGCGTCGAGTTTGGCACGCAACCAGTAGCTTCACGAAGACGGGTAATGAGCTTCCCAAACCTCGGAGACTCCCTCTTCGCACATGCCCTATCCAACTCTTCCAGCAAGAAGGCGATCTGCGCCCACCGGTCCACTCCAGCGCCCCTCGTGCGAGCGAAGGGCGGCGATGGCACCACCTTCCTGACGTTGACTTTCCGTGCCAGCGCTCGGCCTCTATGCGCGCGCCCATCCTCGCCCAATCCTTCCCCGTCCAACGACGAGCTGAAATAATCCTCCACTTTACTGACCCATTGGCCAAAGGTACGTCCAAGAGGCTTGCAACTGTCCGAGGCAAGCTGCCAAGCGTAAGAAGATTGAACGCAGCGTGGAGGTTTCGTCCATCTACCGTCCGTTTTGACAACAAGAGATCGCCAGGTCTTCACGATTGTCACTTGACCACTTCTCCTAATGTCTCAGGAACAGGTGGAACGAGATCGCCTCCAGGTTCTGCCCCCCTCGGCAAGTCGCCCTCGCCCTCCTCGCCCATATCTTCTGACTCTGTAGCTTCGCCCAAGTCCATGGGGCCAAGATATTGAAAAGGTGGTGGCCCCTTGATCCCCATCCTCCTACGCGTGCCCAAAGCTGGTACTTTTGGGCTCTTCGTCGTCGGAGTAGCTGCCACCGCCAGCTTCCTCGAGCGCTTGCTGCACGGGTCCGCCTTCTTCTTCGGCTGGATAGGTGGCCCAAAAGCCTTTGGAAGCCGGAGCGCGCGACCTTCCGCCTCCTTGGCTTCTAAGAGTAAGTCCAGCACAATGCCGCAATGCGCCTTGCCACCTTCGCCTACCATCTCGGTATCAGCATGCGCTCGATCGAGATGCTCCAGAGCGCGGCCTGACGCTACCACGTAATCGATCAACGTCCCCTGCCCGCCTGCGCACGTGTACTCCACGTTGTCTGGTACCAAGATATTGCCCTGTACCAGGTTGAGCCATCCTGCCTTGCGAAGCGTCTCAGGAGGGAAATTCCAGTCACACAAGATAGCCCAGGGCGTGGAAAGAGATGCCACCAGCGATGCTAAGTGCCGCAACTTCTCCACATTAGCCCCAGTGACTCCCAGCCCATTGTAGAGATAGCCGCCCACGATGGTGATGTGGGCGCCCTTCAAGAGGACCTGCATGCCGACCATGTCCTTGAACCTGACGCCCGTGATCTGGTTCTGCTCTGCTGTGCTCTTATTATTGCCCTCTCTTTTCCCTGGCAGATCCTCCTTATTGGACGCAAGGTGTCTTAGTGACCAAGAGGCCCACTTCTTCGATACCCCCATGGCAACACCCCCAGCTTTTGCAGAAAACCGACTGGACTCCGCACCCGCTGGGCACACCATGCTTTTGTAGCCAGCCTTGTCGGACTCAACCAGTACGTCGTTCGACTCAGTCTTGTCCATGTGCGTCTCCTGGATGATGACCGCATCGCAAGGCCTCTTGGGGAGCAACTTCGCCGATGGTCCCCAAGTAGACATGTTGCGCATGTAGATGTGGAACGTGATGCCTTCCCTCTTCTCTTGACACTCATCATGCGCAAGCTGCTCCTGCGCCGACATGTCTTGGGTGTCCTGACAAATACGGTGCCGCACCAATCCCCATGCCAGCGCGATCCTGTCTTGAGCTTCATCGTAGCCATCATCAGGTAAGAGCCGAGCAGGAGGTACTCTGTTGCCAAGCAACCTCCGAAACTGGCGTCGGATCTCACGCAGCTCATCGAAATGCCATCTGAGAAAGCGGCGGCGCTGCTCCACGTCCCTGATGCTGTTGAGCGCCTCAAAGAAGAGGGATCGGTGCGGCGCTGCCCGATGCCAGACCTCCGTGCACATGATCTCTGCGAGATCAGCCAGTGTACGTCCGTACAGCCTTTCCAAGTACATGTGGAAATCCCTACTCGTTGGCCTGGAAAGAGATTCAATGAAGCAAGGGACACACCATACACGCCAATGTTCTAAGATGTTGAAACGTTCTCCTCTGATATTGTGTATCCACCTTGCTGCTGTGGTCGTCATCTCATATCGTAGCCTTTGGCGCTCCCTGGTCTGGCTAGGAGGTCTCCGTGGGAAAGGTATGTGCGCAGGCCATCTTCCCATATACTGATCTCCTTCCAGCAAGACGACTGGGCGCTTGCTCGACGCTCTGTTGTCCCAATCCTCCTGTGGACTGGGTGTCCTGCGAGCAAGACGCCTGTCTCGACGAGAGTGCCACTGATCTCCTTCCAGCAAAACGACTGGGCGCTTGCTCGACGCTCTGTTGACCCAATCCTCCTGTGGACTGGGTGCCCTGCGAGCAAGACGCCTGTCTCGACGAGAGTACCAGGTCACCCCTGGCTTTGAAACCTCCATCTCATCAATCACCAACTTCCAAGTAACTTCCCAACCAGAGGCGACAACCGTCCCTTCCCAGAAGAGTAAGCTCGTATTCGTACCGCTGCGATCGCGAACCCAGGGGGCCCGACCAAAGGTCAAAAGATGCGCAACCCCCAGAGATACACACGCCTCCAAGTTACCTTCACTACCAAGGGTCTCATGAGGAGCCACCCCTTGGAATACACTCAGATCTGCGATGTCCATGCCAAGGGCCTCAGGAGGAGCCACCCCTTGGAATAAGTAGTTGCCATCTGCATCCACGACGATCTTCCCCTCGTCGCTCATGCCAGAGGTCCCAGGAGGGGCCACCCTCTGGTGTTCAGATGGGCCAGGGGTCTCAGAAGGAGCCACCCCCTGGAATACACTCGCCTCTGTGATGCACATGCCAGGGGTCTCAGAAGGAGCCACCCCCTGGAATAGCCTTCTCCCAGTAGAGAAAGCCGCCGTACCCGAAGTAGATCTGCCCGACGTCCCCTCTTCATTGGCCTCCCCCTGCGCTGCGACCGTACCCGAGGTGGGCGGGAGCCAGGGATCGGCCGAGGGTGGGCTTAAATCAAATCTGCGAAATGGGTGACCGCTTGGCCGCAAGGGTCTCCTCCATGATGCTCTTGAGCTCCTTCTGCTTGTCGGTGGCCACCTGGTCGACTGTGGCCCATGCTGACGCCGCTCCCTTCGAAGATCCTGGCGTAGCCGATGTCTCTGCATCCGTAGGTGTCGGTGTCGATGCCGAGCCTCCCGCAGAGCTCCCTTCTGCTTCTGGTCGATGATCTTCCGCAGGTGCAGGACTGCTCTTCCGCTTCTTGGTAGCTTGCCAAGAACCGAGCTCCTCCACCTTCTTCTGCTGCTGTTCGGCCAGCGACACAACCATCTTACTGAGGAAGAGGAAGAGGAAGAGGAAGAGGAAGGAGAAGAGGGAGGAAAGATGAGCAAAGAGGAAGGAAAAGGAGAAGGAGGAGGGGAAGGGGAGAAAGGAGGCGGGGGAGGAGAGCTCGCATGCCAAAGCGCTGGCTCCAGAGTCGTCAGACAGCTGGAGGAGGGAGGAGGGGGAGAAAGGGGGCGGGGGAGGGGAACTCGCATGCCAAATCGCTGGCTGGGGAGTCGTCAGGCAGCTCCCTGGACTCTGGCGAGCACCCCGAACGCGGTGTGAGGAGGCAGGGTTGGGGAGCCTCACGTACTCGCGCGCCGGAGGTCAGGATGACGTGCGTTCGCGAGGAGACCTCCTCAAAGCTTCTAGCGCGGGCACCGTGGTCGAGAAGGCAACTTCTGGACGGTGGCGATGCTTCGTTTCCGACAGGACGCACATGAGCCGCAGCAGCGATTCGATCGCGCACGGTCAACGGGGAGCGGGGGCGGCCGGAGGCTGGAGGGGCGGAGGGGGAGGAGGGACTGGAGGGGGAGAGCAGAGGCAGTGACTGGTCGGACAGGTTCGCGTCGAGTCGACCCTGGCGCCGGTTCCTGACACCGCGGGGGGCGCTCCAGCTTGAACGATCGGCTGTTTCAGAAACGCCGGATCGTTCAACGATGGGCCGATTCTGGGCCTCAGGCGGCATTCAACCTTAAACGCCCGCGCTGGGGTCGCCGTCCGTCGACACGACGCGAACCTACCATAGACCCTGCTACTGCGAATCAGAAGGGGCGTCTACGTTTTGCTTATCAGAAGTCTAAAAGGATCCGGAACCACCCCAGCGACTTCTTTGAGGAAGCTCCTGTGTGAGCTCGCGTCATCCTGACCCTTAGCGCGCAAAGAAGTGAGGCCCAAATCGCGCATCCTGAAACGAGTTCCAATGAACTTTAGGACATCCGCGGAAGACATCGCCGAATCCTGATCTGGCGCTTCCACATGAGAGGTCCTCGAAACATCTGGTCCAAGACTCCTCCGCAAAGTCTCGCAAATGCCGCACGATGCGACAGAGCCTCATGATGCCCCAAGAAGGCCTCGAGGGCCCTCCAGAAGGCCCCTAGAGGCCTCAAGATGTCCAAAAGAGGTTCCCAGCGGAGTAGTGAAGCTGGCGGCGCGCGGGGAAATTCGCCGGCCCAACGGGCCAGAGGCGTGCTAAGATCTCCGGTAACTGGTTAACAATATTTCCAGTTCGCGCGCGCGGGGCGGCCCCTGGGGGTCCCCCGGCGAAAAGTATCCCGACCGCAGCCCGACCAGGTCTACTCAGAGATGGTGTTGAGGGCCTTTTTTCGACACCCCTCACGAGGATCGTGGCCTCCGAAGGGGGTGCACTCGACTACCCCGCCCCAAGAGGCCCCCAAGAGCCCCCCAACCCAAGGGGGCCCCAAGACGCCGCCAAGGAACCCCAAGAGACCCCCAAGCGGTCCCCAAGAGGCCCCTGGGAGGCCCCAAAGAGGCCCCCAAGAGGCTTCAAAGAGGCCCCATAGAGCGCTCGAGGGCCGGCGGAATGAGCGAAGCGATTAAATAACTACGTACTCCGCCACGGCGTCACGGCAAAGGCTCACGCCTCCGCTTCTGCATGCAGGCGCTCCCGATCAACCCGAGGGCGGCCAGATTATCAGTCAGCACAAACCCCTGAGAGCGCTCTACTCTTGTATCGTACGCTCGGGAATTGGACCCAGAGGAGGCGCGCAAGAGAGGCAAGAGGATGTAAGCAACGAAGGACTCGGTATGAAAACATGGTGACCGAGCCCTCACCCCCCGATTTCAAAAAATAACCTCGCACCAGGCGAGACTAAACCACGTCCCAATCTGGTCCAACCCAGCAAGATACATCAGAAGGGTTCCGATGGGCCTTCCCAATTCTAGACGACGAGGAGGGCAACGAGGACGAGGACGAGGGAGGAGAAGGAGGGACAGAAGGGGGGGAGGGAGCGAGGGAGGGAGAGGAGAGGAAGGGAGTGGAGGGGGAGAGAGGGGATAAGGCCGCGGGCTGCGCCCAGAACTGCGACGAGCAGCAGCAGCAGCAGCAGCAGCAGCAGCAGCAGCAGATAGAGTAAAGAGCGGGCGACGATGAGCAGAAAAGCGCCCCTGCAGCTATCATGCTACCACATCGAACGCTGGATCAGGAACGACGGGGCGTTTCTGGCTGCAGCGAACGTTGGCCACGAACAAGTTCCCCGACCTGCATCTAGGAAGCGGGCCGGACACCAGAGCCCTCCCTGAGCTCCAAGTGGTGCTTGTTCCAGCGCCTTGACTGCACCGCGCACCACACCCAGGGGTGGTCGCGAGCAGGTTGTCGAGAGAGCTTCACCACTGCATCTGGGCATTACGTGGCGTTTACGCTCGGCTTTCAAAGTGCCCGCTCTGACCAGCCAAACAAAAATGAATCCAACCATGACTGCGCAGAGAAACACGCTACATCTACACATGCATAGACATGCAATGATTATGGTTGCCGGCGTGGACCCAACACAAGGACAGATTCGACCCTGTATGTGTTAGATTCGCGGGGCAAGCTATGTGGTGCAAGCTATATGGTGGAAGCTGTGTGGCGCAAGATCCGTGATGTGAGCGATGGGGTGAAAGGTACGTGCTTTGAGCTATGTGGTGTACGCTATGCAGCGCAAGCTTCGTATGTGGTGCAAAATGTATGGTGCAAGTTATGAACGGCAAGCTATGGGGTGCAATAGATGTGGTGCAAGAGATGTGATGCAAACTTTGAGATGTAAGTTACAGGGTGTACGCTAGGTCGTGCAAGCTGTGTGATGCAATAGACGTGGTGCAGCCCACCATTTACTGACGAGCATGAACAAGAAAGTCTGGGGCCAAGCATGGATGGAAATAACAACAAACAACGAACACACATAACCAGCTAAAAATTAGCCTGGCGAAGGGCCCTATCATATCCAGCTGTGAACAACGCCGTTGTATGCACCGCATTCGGAGGTGCTCCCTATAAGACCACGAAACGTGTGATCGGTTTGACGAAGTGGACGCGGTGGGCACATGCGAACGCAGCCACTGGGGCCGCAGGTGGAGCTCCCTATAAGGCCACGAAACGTGAGAGAGGTGTGCAAGAAAGGATGCTGCGGGCGCATGCAAGCGCAACCACTGGGGCCGTCGGTGGAGCCCCCACAAAACGTGCGAGCGGTGTGCCGAGATTGGTGCGGTGGGCGCACCACTGGGGCCGTCGATGGAGCTCCCTGTGACGCCACGAAACTTGCGAGGGGTGTGCCGACATGGGTGCTCTGGGCGCATGCGAACGCTGGCATGTGGGCCTTCGCTGGAGCTCCCTATGGGGCCACAAAACGTGCGCAGGGTGTGCCAAAATGGACGCGGTGGGCGCATGCGAACTCAGCCACTGGGGCCGTCGATGGAGCTCCCTATGGGGACACGAATCGTGTGGGGAATGTGCCGAAATTGATGCGGTGCGCGCATGCAGACGCAACCACTGGGGCCGTCGGTGAAGCTCCTGGTGGGGCAACGAAACATGTGAGGGGTGTGCAAAAATGGGCGCGGCGGGCGCATGCGAGCGCAGCCACTGGGGCCGCAGGTTGGGTTCCTTATGCGGCCACGAAACGTGTGAGGGTTGTGCCACAATGGGTGCTGTGGGCGCATGCGAACGCAGCCACTGGGGCCTCTGGAGGAAATCCCTATGGGGCCACGAACCATATAAGGGGTGTGTCAAAATGGGCACGGTGGCCGCATGCGAATTCAGCCACTGGGGCCGTCGGTGGAGCTGCCTATGGTGCCACGAACGTGTGAGGGCTGTGCCAAAATGGTGAGGGCTGTGCCAAAATGGACGCGGTGGGAGCATGCGGACGCAGCAACTGGGGCCGTCGGTGAAGCTCACTATGGGACCACGAGGCATGTGAGGGGTATGCCACAATGGGCGCGGTGGGCGCAAGCGAACGCTTCAATTTGGGCCGTCGGTGGAAGTCCTTATGGGTCCACGAAACGTGTGAGGGGTGTGCCGATATGGTTGACTGGTGCGGAGGGCAGAGGCAAGGATGGGAGGAGGGGGGAGAGGAGAGGAGAAGAGAAAATGAAGGAACGCGAAGCGCTTTCTCCGCAAAACGAGGACCCAAACCAAACCGGATGGTGGGCAATAACGGCAACAGCAAAAACAACAGCGACGGACAATATCGCCTCTGGGCAGCCTGGGGCGACTGCGAGCAGGAGCGGCAGCAGCAAGGGTGGAAGTAGCGGGCAGCGGGGGGGTAGAGGGGCGCTCTTGCCACACCCCCCTTTCCCATGGATGGATGGCACGCGCACTGTGTCTGGGCAGCCTGATCGCATGCGGCGCACGAGGAGGAAGAAGAGGAGGAATAAGAGCAAGGACGAGAGAGAGAAAAAAAGAAGGAGGGGGAGGAGGACGACGACGACGATGAGAAGAGACGAAATCTTCAAAGGGATAGGAGGAATGAGAGAGAGGAGGGGGGGAAGGAGAAGGGAGAAGGGTAGCAAGTGCGGGTGCGAGGACTGGAGGGGGAAGGGGCGAGGGGAAGAATGGGGAGGGTAAGAGCAAGGATGGGAAGAGAAGGAAAGGGGGAGCGGGAGGGGCAGGGAGGAACGGCAAGGAGGTGTACGGGGAGTACGAGGAACTGCACGCGAGTCCAGGCCACGCCGTTGTAAAAAGTCTGTCGGCTCCCCGACGCGAGACACCCTACTGGTCAGCGAGGTTCACTGCCCCCGTCTCCCAGCTCCCCATCCTCCTCCTGCTCCTCCTCCTCCTCCTCCTCCTCCTCCTCCTCCTCCTCCTCTCTTCTTCCTCCTCATCCTCTTCCTCTCCCTCCTCCTGCTCCTGCTCCTCCTCCTCCTCCTCCTCCTCCTCCTCCTCCTCCTCCTCCATCCCTCTTCCTCATAAATGACTCCTCCGTGTCGCACTCCGAGGAGGCCAATCGAGAGGGCGGGCCGGGCGTCTCACCTGAGACTTCCTCACCACTTATGACCCTGATGATTAGGATTCGCAGCACATTCACGGGTGGACGGCTGGTGGTTTTCAAACTGCGGCTCTCGCTTAAGAGCCGCGCACATTCGTTTCACAAAACGGCACGAGCTTCACGGGTGGAAAGCTTGTGGTCTTCAAAATGTGTCTCTCGATTTCGCGCCGCGCACATGCGTTTTAAAATCCGCCGACCCTGTCGGCGTGTGGAAGAGGCTGTTCCGTTTGACTCGTCGTCGTCGTCGTCGTCGTCGTCGTCGTCGTCGTCGTCGTCGTCGTCGTCGTCGTCGTCGTCGTCGTCGTCGTCGTCGTCGTCGTCGTCGTGGTCGTTGTCGTCGTCGCCTTCGCCGCTCGCTTCCCCCCCTTTCCCGAGGCCCGTCGCCGCTCCCCCCCTTTCACCGGGTTGTCCTCCTCGAGCGCGCCAGCCACAGCGAAATTGAGCAACGTTGTAGTCGAGTCGGAAGGAAGCCCCTTCCCTTTGATCCCTTCCCCGCCAGGGGGGTGGGAAGGGGTCCCGGGGGGGTCCCGGGGCAGATACGAGTTCCCCTCGGGCGGTTGGGCGGCCCGGAAAAGCCGTTCGTCACTCCCCGGAGCCAGCTTCACGTCCCGGAGCCATGCTCGATAGCCCATGGGGCCCGAACGCGGCCCCCCGAAGCCGAAACCGCGGGAAAGCAGCACCGGCCCAAAAGATCATACCGTCGGAGATCTGGGAACCAGCCGCGGTGGACCTCCTCCTCGACCAGCCAACGCCGCGCCGCCCCGACGGCCGGGCAAAAGGATCAGCCCGACTCCGGGCTGCGGCGGAAGTACCCCGCCTCGCCCGGGGCGTCCACCGTCCTGCCCAGCGTGCCGTAGCCCTCTCGCTGGCGGCACGAAACAGGGAGCAAAATGGTCACCACGAGCGGCGAACGTATCCATATCCACGCCCTCGCTGTCCAGAACGCGATCCCGCGGGTACGCGGTCGCACGGGTACGTTCCGCGCGGAGCACCCGCGGGAAAAGGTGCCGTATCCGCGGGGTCGCGGCCCAGGGGCCCAGCCCGCGAGGCCGCGGATACGGAGATGATTGTCGCCCACGAGATTAGGAGGCAACTCCTGGAAGGTCTAGATTAGGAGGCAACTCCTGGAAGGTCTTCGCAAGAACGATGAAGGGCTGTGAGGCCCGACTGGGGGACCACTAAGTTGGACTACGCCTGATTAATCCCAGGACTCAGCTGGGGTAAGCGGAAAGCAGGGGAATGACGCAGGATTGAGCCAGATAAAACGAGGTCAAGTCAAATTCCGACCAAGGATGTACGGTCGCCGATGCTGCATTCAACATCCAAGGAGTTGCATCTTAAGATGGGGGGGTGCGCGCATCGAAGATCGAGGGTTGAGACGACGGCGGGAGGAAGACAACAGTCGGGGCAAACCAAGAATCTCCGAGAGCTGGCGGGTCTGGAAGACGCATCGGGCGATCGGGCGCCGCGGCCGGATCCAGTGCTCCGGAAAGCTTTGAGAGCGCACAGGAACGCTTTGTGAGCGACTCATCCTCCTCCTGGGCTTACAGGATCAAGTGTCTCGTGCGTTTGCGGCTTTTCTGGGGCGTACAACGGCCTTTTGCCCCCGAGGCCTCAATTTCGATTTTGGGCGAAGGGAAGATCTGACACACACACACACACACACACACACAAACACAAACACACACACACTGCCCCTACAGCACCCACGGGCGCATGTTGCGCGCAGGCTTTGATGTGGATCGAGAGTGGCCAGGAGGCCACATACATACATATCCGACCGAAAGCGGGCTGCGTGTGGGGGCCCTGTTGTGGTAAAGATGTATGATAACTATGTGTACATATACCACAAAATACTGGAACCATCGCGCGCGCGATTCGCGCGCGCTCGGATTCTCCGGAATCCCAGCGAACAGTGAGGTGCCGAGGGCTGGGCGACGGTTGTGGGTATGACGTTGGCCCGAATGCGTTGTGGAAACACGCAGTGAAGAACCCTTTCCACGAGCACGGGGGACTCCAGGAGGACGACGAAGAGAACGAGGGGGGCGGTTTGGAGGTCGAGATAGGGGAGAAGAGTCCAGGAGCATGACAGCGGCGAAGACGAGGGCAGAACGGGAAGGAGGGGCAGGAGCAGGAGAAGTGGAGTCTTTGAAGACGAACAGCAGCAAGAATACAAAAAAGATGGGTATCCGTGCCCCTCGTCCACGTGTGCCCCTCCTTGTGGCCTTCTGCACATCCTGCCACCGAGCCTGGGTTGTTGGCTGAGAAATCGTAAATGCCTGTTCGCGTCTCTGGGGAAACCTCTGGACAGCCTGTTGGAAACAGTGGTGAAGCCTCTTGGGGCGCTGTTCGGGGCCTCTTCGGAACCTCTCGTGGCCTTCTCGGGTCCACTCCGGGGGAGTCCTCGGGGGCCTGCCGGCGATATTCGGGGTCCTCTTGGGGCCAAGGCCTCGAAATATGGGTTCGCATCCCCCCCCGTGCACGAGCCCCTCTTGGGGCCTTCTTGGGCGGTCCTGGGTGCCTCTTGGGCCGTCTTGGGGCCCTCTTGGGCCGTCTAGGGGCCCTCTGGGGGACCTCTTCGGCCGTTGGGAGGCTCTCCTAAAGGCCTCTGAGCCCGTCTTGCACGCTGGGCACATGGAAACAACGATTGCGATAGAAACGTACGCTTTCCCACGGGAACTAAGCGATTTTGCCTCTTCGGGTCCTCTTGAGGGTCGTCTTGGAGCCGCCTTGGGGCATCCTGGGGGCGCATCCTCGACGGAGGCCCCTTCGCGAGGTAGCGGCGGAGGATTGCCCACTCGCGCGCCCGCGTTGGGGGCCATCCGTCAACTCCAAGCAGTTCAGCATGCACGTCGTCTTCAGCATGTGGATCTTGCGCAGGTAGATCCTGAGTGTCAGGATCGGCGGTCTCTCATTCTGTAACCATCGGAATCGGGCACGGTAGTCAGTAGCTTCTTCACATCGCAGTCTCTGAGTCGCCGCGGAGGACGGGTGCGCTCGATGCATGTGAGAGCGACGGCCACGTCCATGCGCGGACCCCCTCCATGCGCGAGTGCCAATACCGATGGCGGTCTGGCGACGGCGCGCATCAGGACCCCGAAGGCCGCGGTGCAAGGGGTTGAAGTTCGGGCGGCGGAACACGGCGGTCACGCCTTGCACGCGCCAGTCCATCCAGTCATTCTCGTCGCCCACCAGTGGGTCCACGAAGGTGCTCGGCAGCCGCGACACAGCCCACGCGGAGGCGCGCTCGTTCAGGTAGTCGCGCGACTGCTGGGCCGAGGGCCACGCAGCACGAGGGCCCTCAGCACTGGCGGCAGGTCGAAGGGCGCCCCCAGCCGGCGCCAAGCGCGGTAATCCAGCGCGCCGGCACCAAGCCTTCAGGCGCTTCAGGACGGTCTTCTCGAAGGAGTCGGTGTAGAAGCTCTTCTGGAACGACAGGAGGTAAACCTGCTGCGGCGATTTGCAACGAGAACCCCGCCCCCACCACGACCCCCCCTCCCCAGGCCAAGTCCAAGCGGGGGGCATGTCGCATGCCATCCTCTTCAAAGCCCCCGTCACGAGCTTGGCCCTTGCCGCAAGCCCGTCGCGAGTCTTGTCGAAGGGCGAAAACGCGGCGCACGCGCGCAGCCGCTAGTCGGCGGGCGACGCCGACCAGTTGTTCAGCTCGTGCCGCGGTTGCAGCGGATCGCTTCAAGACCTTGTAGAGCGAGCCCTTGACATTGACAATGTTCGGGAAATGGATCGCACGTTCGAACCTTTGCGCGATCGAAAGATCGCCCATCCAGCAGCCGGGGAACCAGTGTCCCAGCGCGACCTGCGCCAGCGAGAGGCTATCATCAGCGGCAATTCGACGTCGGCGAAGCAGTCCGCGCCAGCTCGCGAGAGCAATCGCCGCGGCCCTCCACAAAGTCGCCGCAAGGAGGGCCTCCAGCCCGCGCGGCATAGCTGCACCGGGCCAGCGCTCGAAGGAGAAGATGCCAATCTTGGAGAAGCCTGGCGGGGCCGCCCTCAACAGTTAAGCGCGCGTGGTTATCGGGCTAAAAAGCACGGCGATGGCGGGTGCAAGTGGGCGGCGCGCGAGAGGCAGGCGACGGCCGCAACGTTGTATAGTTTGGCGGTTTGTTGAAGTGGAGCTCGCGACTCTTCCGAGATCCGACCTTGGCCCCGCCAGTTCCGCCCAGGCGCTTTCCAGCAGATCCAGCGTTGCGACAGGACCAATAAATGCGCCCAGGTAGCGCGCGTCGCTCGCCACCTTGAAGTCGCGCCAGTCAGGGCGCACCGAGGCCAACCACTGTTGAATTGACGAAGTGGTCCCTGGCGTGGGCATCGCCCAGGCCGGCGCGATGATGCGCTTCCTCGATTGGAGCTGCGTGCCCGCGAAAATTGCGGCAGCCTCGAGGGGGGGGAAGAGCAGTTCAATGTCCCGGAGCCGCGCGAGGACGACGCCCGGGTCGTCGGCGCACGCCCTGAGGAGGCCCCGCTGGCTGTCGGAGAAGACGCGCCTGATGCCGCGGACGCAGAAGTCAAAGATGAGCGCCCACAGTGCGCCGCTCAGGGGGCACACCCGCGCCGCCCCTGCTTCCGCCAAGAGAACAGGCCCACGGGCGCCGTCCAGCTCCAGGAACGCGACAGGCCAGCGGTAGCATGCCATCATGAGCGCGAGCAGCTGCCCTTGGATGCCCCAGCGCTGCAGAACCGCCCAGAGCCAGTCATGAAGGGGGCTAGGGAACGCGGCAGCGATGTCCATGCTAGCGAAGCAGGGCATGACTTCGGGAGCCTCGTCCGCGGTGCTCAGCAGGCGTGCGATCGAGTCGACGGCGGCGAGGTTGCCGAGGAACTGCCTGCCACGCACGCAGCCCAGTTGCTCCTCAGTCGCGTCGGCGGCCACGCTGTGGAGCTTGCTGTGGTGGCAGACGCGATCAGCTTGACGTCGGTGCCCTTCATTGCGAGAAGGTCCCAGGCAAGCCGACTCCCGCGGACGCTCGAAGACGCCGAGCGGCTCATCGCCCTCCGGAAGCATGGCCATGAGCGGGTAGTTGAGCTCGCGCGGGATGGGTCCACCGTCGGCCAGGGGGGCGGCCAGCTCCGCTAGCGCTCCCAAGGCGCCAGGAGAGCGCAGCCAGGCACGATGAGGTAGCCCTTCGGGGCCAGGCGCGGAGCCGCCTGCCTTCCGAGCCGCCGCGAGAAAGTCACCAGGGGGTGAAGAGGCGGCCGATGACGAAAAACTGAATCAAGGTACCTGCGCATGCTCGCGGTGCCCCTGGGCTCGGCGGCAAAAACCTTGCTCCCGTGCCCCTGTGCAGCGCTGTGCGTGGCCATGGAATCGGAGCGCGCGGGCCGATGCCAACGCGTCGTGACGCGAGTGCCTGCGAGCACCAGGCGCTTGGCGAAGGGTTTCCAGAGCTCTCCCGTCTAACCCTCACTTGTCGACGAGCTGGCGGCTGTTGATATGGCATGCTGCGCGGGGATCTGGCAGCGGCCTGCTTGCGATGGGCATCAATCACAGCTGCGTTGACCGCGTCGACGGCATGAACAAATTCAGCTTGGTTGCGAATGCTAGTGTTGGGGCCGTCGGTCTCCGAGCGCCCCTGCCCCGCGGAGGCGTGGGCCACGACGAGTAGCGTCGCCAGTCGGAGACCTTGGAACCAAACCCTCGCAATGCTGCGAGATGTCATGGCACGCGCTTGCGTGTTGATGGCTGCGCTGGCCTCGATTATCCCCGACGCAGGGATCTCAATGATGGCTTCGCGAGCTTTCTGCGCCGCCACAGTCATGATATGCGTCGTCGCGCGCCGCTTGGCGACAGGGCTCAACGAGGATGTGTCTGTGTCGTGGGCCTCCAGGGCCTCCAGAAGCCTGCTGGGGCTCTCCTGAAACTCCCACAGGCCCCTAAGAGAGCTCTAGAGGACAGCCTGGGAGGGCCCAAAGAGGCGCCAACGGAGCTCCCAGAGCGGCCCCAGACCCCCAAGAATTCAACACAAGTTTAAGACAACGCCGTCCTTGGCGAGGAAGCGGTTTGTGTCAAATGTGAGTTAAATTTGGGGCCCTCTTGGAGGCCGTCTCGGAGCTCTCTTGGGCTGTCTTGGGCGCGTCTAGGGCCGTATTAGGGTTCTCTTGGGCCGTCTCCGGGCCATCTGGGGAGCGTTCATCGAATCCTCTTGTGCCGTCTGGGGGCATCTTAGGACGGAAGGCTCGAATTATTGCTTCGGGCTCCTGCGCTGGGGCCCGTCTTGGTACTGTGCTGGGCCTCTTGGGCGCCTCTAGGGCCGTTAGGGGCCCCCTTAGGACGTCTTTAGGCACTCTTGGAAACCTCTTGGCCCGTGGCGGTGTGGTCTTGGGGGCCTTTTGGGACGTCGGGGAAAGCGCTGGAAAATAGAAAAATCGCGAACCCCGAAAGCACTGGAAAACAACGGGAACTCAATCATGTGTGCCTCTTGCGGCCATCTGGGGAGCGCTCGGCGAGCCCTCTTGGGTCGTCTTGGGGCATCTTGGGAGGGAAAGCTCGAATTTTCCTTTCGGGCTCCTGCTCTTGGGCCCCTCTTGGGGCCGTCTTGGGGCCCTCTTGGGGCCGTCTTGGGCCCCTCTGGGGGCTGTCTCGGGACCCTCTTGGCCCGTCTTGGGACCCTGTTGGGGGCCTCTTGGGCCGTCTTGGGACGGTCTTGAAGGCCTCTTGGGACGTCGTGGAGCGTCGGAAGCTCGAAAGTCGAGAGTCCAAAAATCATTGGTTCTTGCCTCTTGGGGCCCTCTGGGGGGCGCTCGCCAAATTCTCTTGGGCCGTCTTGAAACTATCTGGGGCTGCCCGAAAGCTCCGCGGGACATCTCAAAGCCTTCGGGTGTCTACGTGACACCACTTAAGGCCGTCTGGTTGGCTCTCGGGCCGCTGGAGAGGCTGCCTGGGGAGCCCAGCGCCCCCATGGCGAATCGGGGCAGCTGGGGAGCAGGCCCCCGACCCGACATGTACACATATGTATACACAGATGTATACACATATGTATACATGTATGTAAACATATATGTGTAGATATACATGGTTACCTATACACGTATATATATGTATAGAGGCATGCATGTGAGTGTGTAAGTATATGTATGTTTGTATGTACTGATCTATACATACACACACTACACACGTATAACTATGACTCCACACACAACCACGCACACGAACACGCACGCACGCACGCACGCACGCACGCACGCACGCAAGCACACACAAAACACACACACACACACACACAAGCACACACACACACGCGCGCGCGCGCGCACGCACGCACGCACGCACGCACATACAACACACACACACACGTATAATCCGCCACCGTGCCTCTGGCACGAAGTGAACCACCAAGGCTCATGCAGCCCTGAGAGGTGTAAGGTTTTTCTTAGGTTCTTATGGGCCTGGACCCCCCGCTTTCCCTGGCGCTCTTGGGCGCTACCGGGACAGTTTTCCCCTAGGCTGTTGAATGGTTCTGGCGCTCTCGGCTTCCCTGCGCTCCAAGAAGGCCCAAGAGCCCCCCAATATCGCCCCAAGACAGCCGAAGAGCTTCCACGAGTGCCCCACAGAAGCCCAAGAGTGCCCCAAGACGGCCCAAGAGGCCTCCCAGACGGCCCAAGAGTCCCCCAAGACGGCTCCAAGAGGGGGCCCAGACGGGGGACCCGAACGCACAGTTCGAGCCCTCGGCCCCGAGAGGCCCCCAGGAGGCCCCAAAAGGCCCCCAAGAGGCCCGTAAGAGGCCGCCAAGAGGCCCCAAGAGGCCCCCAAGAGGCTCCCAGGAGGCCCCCCAGAGCCCCCCAAGAGGCCACAAAACTGCCCCAGAGGCCCCCGAAAGCTCGAGAGCGCTACGAGGAGATCCCAGGAAGCATCCCTGAGAACGCTGGTCCACAACCCTGGCACGGTGGCGGCATGGGCCGAGGGCCATTCGACATGGAATTACACACACACACACACCTTTAGTTCTGCAAGACGGCCCCCGCACATCATAAGGCGCGGGGGGCATTCCTGTTACGGAGGCGGTCCCCTGCAAGAAGCCCTCCACCGCCTCTCAGGGAGCTGTTGCCCTCACCCTGCCCCCCGTCTGCATGCCCGTAGCCTTGACGTCCTCGTCCTTGAAAGGCTGGACCATGAGCCACTGCGTGAACCTTACAGTTGGGTTCTTGCCACACTAAATAAAAAAACTCGAGTTACCCCCGCAGAACAGCCCAAATGCATGGTTTCTTCATCCCCAGGGTGACGCCCATTACCCAGGCGACCACCCTCCCATCCCTGGGGTAACGCTAACGATCGTACTGGGGGAGGGAACGGCCCCCCCCTGTATGCTGTGGGGCACACAAGCGATTGATGCGCCGGTGGCGCGGACGCACCCTGGCCGGTGCACGCCGCGGCCGCCGCTACGCCCGCCCGACCCCCCCTGGGTACGGACCGTTACCCGGGAAAGAAGAAAAAAGGTCACCAATAGCAGGTAAGGTGTGGAGGCGGATGGACACCTGAAACGTCGGCTTTCGAGAACGACCTCATCATGTTGTCGATACGATTATACGAGGTTGAAATTGCTGATGAAGGTGACGTTCGTGATGGTCAACATTGGGGTCCGAGCGACACCACTCCTGGCAGCTGGAATAGTGAGAAGCCGATGCCCCTGCCACAATGTTTGGACCTGCGACGGCTGAAATCGAGCCAAGGCAATTCGCCGGCCCAGCGGGCCAGAGGCGTGCTAAGATCTCCGGTAACTGGTTAACAATTCTCTAGTTCGCGCGCGCGGGGCGGCCCCTGGGGGTCCCCGGACGAAAAGTACCCCGGGCGGGTCCCGGCTGATCCCCGGGCGACTCCACCAGAGCGCTCCATGAGCGCACCAACAGGGCTCCGAGACGTCCCCGAGAGCCCCAAGAAAGGCCAAGAGGCCCCCAAGAGGCCCCCAAGATGGTACACGAGGGGTCCGACATGCCACAAGATCGCTCCAAGACGCCCAAGATAGCCCCCAGACGCCCCAAGAGGCCTCCAAGAGCACTCCCAAGAGGGCCCCAGGAGGCAAAATTCATTGTTTTTCCTTAGGTTTTTGAAAGATTTTGGAGCTTCCACCTTTTCGGCTTCCCGACGCCCCAAGACGGCCCAAGAGGCCCCCAAGATCGCCCCAAGAGGGCCCAAGAGGCCCCCAAGAGGGCCCCAAGATGGCCCAAGAGGGCTCGAAGACGGCCCAAGAAGCCTCCAAGACGGTCCAAAAGGGCCCCAAGAACGCCCCCAAAGGGGCCCCAGAGAGGGAACACGAAACAACATTTCGAGCCCTCGGCCCTAAGAAGCCCCCACGAGGCCCCAAGAGGCCCCTAAGAGGCCCCAAGAGGCCCCCACGAGGCCCTCAGGAGGCCCCCAAGAGTCCCCCAAGCGGCCCCAGGAGGCCCCCCAAATGCCCCCCCGAGCACGCAAGCAAGTGCAAGCGATGCTACAATGTGCTCTCCTTTCGGTAGACTCCCAACGGGGCCCCTACAGACTTGCAACAAGCGTCAAGAACCTGCCCAAAAAGCACTGTCCAGGAGCGTTCACAAGTGCCGCGAAGAAGCCCTCCTTACGCCGGAAAGCCCGGAAAGCCGGGTGGGGTGAGCTGTTCTTCTCACCACCGCGCCCTCTCACACAATGGCTTCCGCACGCCGCCCAGAGCGCGACGTTCGGCTCATGCCCCCAGAACGCTTCAGGAGCGCGCCAAAACGGCACCGGAACGCCCCCGAAACAATCCAAGCGGCCTCCAGTCGCCGAACAATCGTTCCAAATCGCCCAAGATGACCTCAAAATTGCCGTCGAGGCCGCCAAGAGGCCCCAAGAGAGCCTCAAGAGGCCCTCCAAGACGGCCATTACAATCAAAAATCGCCCCATTCCCAGAGGAACATGTACACTTCCCGCATGAACGGCGTTTCGAGTTTCACAGCGCCTCAGACTACGCAAATAGCCCCCCACATCGCCCCGAGACAGCCCAACAATCCGCTAAAATCGGCCCAAGACGGCCCAAGATAACCCCAAGACGGCACAAGAGAGCACCCAGACCGCCCAAGAGGCGCCCAAAGGGGGATTCTGCCCCTAGGAGCACCTCAGAAGCCACCAACATCCCGCCAATAAGTCCACCAAGACGCCCCAAGAACCACCCAAGAAACCCAACAAGAAGCCCCAACGACCCCCAAACGGCCCTTACGGGGCCTCAAGAGGCTTCAACACTGCCTCCAAGAGGTTCCCGAGACGCCTGGCAAAAGAACCCCCAAAGCGCCGCATTGACACCAGGCCCTCGGGCAAACGGCAGACATGAGACTGTATGGGCCGGCGCAATGAGCGAAGCGATTAAATAATGAATCTCGTGTCTAGATTTGCGAGGGCCAACATCCAGCCAAAACATTCGCCCCCCCCCTGTGGAGATTCCGGTGAGATAAAAATTCGAACTGAAGTCAAGCCAGGACACTGTAGTGAGTTTCGCTTCTGGACCAAATCGAACCAGAACGCAATGGTGAGTCTCATTTCAGGATCTGGGAGGGCTGAAATCGAGCCAGGGCACTATGGTAAGCTTCATTTTTGGACCAGATCGGCTTTTGGATCTGCGAGAGGTGATATCCAGCGAGAACACTCGACCCCCCCCCTTTATGGAGATTTAAGCTTCCATCGAGAAAAATCGTTAGACTGAAGTCGAGCCAGAACAAAATAGTGAGTTACTCTTCTGGACCAAATCGAACTGGAACACCAGGGTGAGTCTCATTTCTGGATCTGGGAAGGCTGAAATGAGACCAAAGCACCATAGAATTGAGCCAGAGCGCCAGAATCAGTTTCACTTCTGGATTGGCGAGGGCTGACATCGAGCCAGAACATCATAGTGGTCGCTTCCAGACAGCCGCTGGACCAGTGAGGCGCATCCACCCGGCCTCCCCTAGTGGAGATTCTGGCGAAAAGGAAATTGAACCAGAACACCAGAATGAGCTTCATTTCTGGACCAAAGCGAGCCAGAACGCCATAGTGAGTCGCATTTGTGGATCTGGAAGAGCTGAATTCCAACTAGAACGCACCATGGTGAGCCTCATGTCTGGACCAGATCGAACCATGACACCGCAGTGAGTTTCATTTCTGGGCCAAATCGTGCCAGAACACCTCAGTGAGCCAAGCCGCTCTGCCGGGCCGCCGCCAGGCCTGGGAGACGCCTCCCCTCGGCCCCCCGTGGAGATTCTGGTGAGAGAAGCTTTTGATCATAGAACTGTCTAGCGAAACGCAAGTCCGCGAAGACCAAAGTGGTTCAACGGAGCACGGGTCTGGGAGTCCTCTGGTTCTCGTCGTCGCAAGCCTCTTAGACTCTTAGAACCAAAGACATCGCAAGGGGAGCCCTGGCGAAATGCAGGCGGCGTCTTGGTGCGCGTCCACTTCGCATGTAGAGCATGATGGACCGATGTTGCCCCATGGCCAGTCTATGCAGGCCGTCCGAAACCTTCTGGAGCTATCCGATGCCGTCCCGACGCCGACTGATGCAACAACCGCCAGGACATGGGTGTCCCCATCCACAAGTCTCATCAAAATCCACCGCCAAGAACCGTCCACATCCACAACTTCCGCAGTCCCTGGTCTCCAAGGGAGCCGTGGATGCGGAGGTATCCCAAGCCCGCAGGGACGAGCAGATCAGATATCAAGCGCGTCCACCACTCCCCGAAGCGCCTGGGGCACGACCCCGAAGCGGTGGACATGGACGTGCTCTCTGGCAGGTCGAGCATGGGAGCCCGGGGGAAGGAGGAGGAGGAGCGGGAGGAGGAGGAGGAGGAGGAGGAGGAGGAGGAGGAGGAGGAGGAGGAGGAGGAGGAGGAGGAGGAGGGAGGAGGAGGAGGAGGAGGAGGAGGAGGAGGAGGAGGAGGAGGGGAAGAGGAGGAGGAGGAGGAGGAGGAGGAGGAGGAGGAGGAGGAGGGGCAATACCCAGGGGGGTCACCACTTGGGGGGCCCGCCACTTCCTCGAGGAAGCACCGCTTCCTCGAGGAGGTGGGCCCCCCCAAGAAGTCTCCAGAGCCTTCCAGAACGACCCCAAACTTCTGCAAGCCTCCTCGAGCTTCGATGCCGAACCTCGACTCTCAGGAGCAACTGGGGACCCCCGCAGCGGTGACCCCCTTGGCACTGCCCGAGTGCTCTGACTGGGGAACCAAAAGGCACCGATACCGCTGCTCCCAAAACCTCTCTTGGGGTGCGTTCTGGCCCGGATTTCAAGGCGAACCCAGCGGTGGCGACGAGGGCCACCCAGGAGCCCCGAAAAGGGGAAAACGAGGTAAGGATAGTATGGGTACCTTTTCCTCCTCTGACTGGCGGGTCGAGCAGGGAGCCCGGGGACGGCGATCAGCCACGGCAGGGCGATCACGAGCAGCTCTGGCGCGCCGAAGCCCTCGTACGTGAGCTCGATGGCGTGCGCGGGCAGGGGCACCTGGGGGACGCGCTGGCCCGGGGCAGCCGCTGGCCCGGGCCAGCCAGAACCATGCCGTGGACCCTGGCGCGACAACGCACCCAGATCTCCGGCGATGCGATCTTTGTCCGTCCGGGCGCTTCTCCGCGAGTTCGGCCCCAGGAGGCCGGTTGCGGGCCCCGGGACCATCAAAAGCAGCTTTGGGAAGAAGAAGTACCCTTGGGAAAGCGGTCGAGACCTCTGGTATAGGGCGACGAGAGCTATACATTAACATCCACTGCCACCTTGCCAGGCCCGTCCTGAACCCAGCAGCTGTGCACACGCCCTCATCTCGTCGCCCTATCTGGACCCCTGGGACCGCGGCTTGCAAAGATCGGTCCATCGGATGCCTGGGCGGTAGCTCCCAGGCCCGAGCCAGCGCAGGCACTGGGAGGGCGGGACGCCCCGCGTGGCTGCCAAGCTAGGGTCGGCCAGAGGGGACCCCCTGAGATCCTACGACGCGAAAACGTCGCAGCACAGTCAAACATCGCGCCCGGAACCCCGAACCCCATCGCTCTGCGCCACTTCCGGGCCGGCTCGATCTGCGAGGGTCCCGGGTTCCGAAATGGGGCGAAAACACCGGGCTCGAAACAAAAATGAGACGCCAGAATCTCAGGGTCACTGGGAATTGGCCGATCCCTGTTAGCGCGGATCCCACTGCTCGGCTGCGCGCACAACGGGGTAGGGGGGAGGGGGGAAGGCTTCTTAGAAAGAGGCCGTCCTGAATTCTTCACGATGCGAGCATGTCTGGGATGTCAGGGCTGCCCCCCTCTGTGCGGGGCCGACACTGCTCGGCCAACCCCACCGCTCGCCCACGCGCGCCGCGGGAGAGCCAGCCCGGGCAGCGGCGGCTCCTGGTGCGCGGCCTGCCGACCGCTGCATATGCGCGATGCAGAAGCAGCGGCCCGCGCGTGGGCCGCCCCCCCCCCGCCGCGAGGCCCCCGCAGGCCGCGCACTGACGGCCACTCCGGCGAAAAGCCACTCCCCCCCAGGTCCGGGCGTGGCAGCTTTTGTCACACCGGGCGTTTGCGCCCAAGCTCGGGTCCCGGGACCCTCGCAAATCGATCCGGCTCGAGAATGACGAACGAACAACACACATCCATACCCATAGGGGGGGTCCTTACGAGGAGGACTCGCTATGGGTATGGGTGCGGTTTGTCTGACCCTGGGGGACGCTCCCGTTCGAGCGGGGACCCCCATCCGACAACACGCACCCATAGCCCTCTCCGACCCTCCTATGGGTATGGGTGTGTGTTGTCGGTTCGTCAGAGAATGACGCAGAAAGGTGGGTTCTGGGGCTCCAGTCGCGATGTTTGGCAATGTAATATGTTTCTGCAACGTCGGATCTCAGGGTCCTACGGTGTAGCCGGGCTGCTTGCAAGGGGGGAGGGGGGCACAAAGACACAGACAGCGCTACTCCGCGGACCTCTCCTGGCAACTCCAGCCGTGGCGACTCCAGCAGTGGCGACTCCAGCCGTGGCGACGAGGGCCTCCCAGGAGGCCCAAAGAGGCGAAAACGAGTGAAGGGTAGCGGCATCAGTCCCTCCTCCTCCTCCTCCTCCTCCTCCTCCTCCTCCTCCTCCTCCTCCTCCTCCTCCTCCTCCTCCTCCTCCTCCTCGGAGCGCGTCCCCCGAGCACCGCGGCGCCCACCGCGCCGGCAATCGCAGCAGTACCGGCGGCGGCGCCAGGAGAGCCCTGAGCGCGGGGCGGGGCGACGAACGCGGGCGCGGCGAGGACCCAGACGTCCGAAGGTCCGGCTTGTTCCCCATGCGCGGCCCCAAAAAAGGCCCCGACCTCTTCCCATGGGGGTAGTGTTTGGGCCCAGAACCGTCTGCAACGGTCCTGGGGCCGGACAGCAGGCCCAAGGGGCCGAAATGTCGGATTGAAAACAAAAACATCTGCAACTGGAAAAGCCCAAATTGAAAACAGGAAGAAACCGGATCGTCGGATGTCGGGGGAGGTACAGCGCGGCCACCGCCAGGAGCAGCGGGGCCAGGCGGGCGCTCCTGCGCGGCGCCATCGCGCGGGGGGCCTCCACGGGCTGGGGCAGCGCCTTCTTGAGGGCCAAGATGGCTGCGGAGGGTCTGAGCGCCTCTTCGCTGGAGCAGGCTCAGGGGCCACAACGGGATTCTAAACTGGCCCAGACAAACAGTGCAACTCTACTGGTCGATTTGTTTGTTTTCGTCGCCTTCGGTTTTCCTGTATGTTTGGCCTCTGGGGGCTGTTTTCGGGTCCTGGGACCGTCAGAAACGGACCCGGTATGAAAAACTACCCCACTTGGGAAGTCCCCCAGACGATTCGTCGGCACGACCTGCAGAAGTTGCATCACTGGCCCAGGGGGGGTGTAAACACACTGATGTGCACGACCTGCGCTGGAGAGGACCCTGTCGAGCCTGGCGAGTCTGATCAATCTGGAGCTCCGCTGAGCGCCCATCGCAAGAACCAATTCGGTCGAGGGAGCGTGTTCTCTCGAGAAATCCAAGGAACTGTTCTGCCCTGGGTCGGAGACTACCATTGCTCGCCCTGGAAGAGTACGTGGCATTCGAGCCCGAGGTTACCGTTCCTGCTCCTCCTCGTTCTCATCCTCATTCTCATCCCCTCATTCAACGTCCTCATCCACGCAACTCTCAACGGCACCGTTTCTGGCCGGGCTGGTGGGGAAACTTTTTCGTCGCAGCCGCAGGCGAAGGCGCGCAGCGGCGTCACAAGTCAGCTCGGGCTACGAGCAGAACTAATTAACCCAGCGCGCGCACAGGCGGCTGCAGGACTACCGCCGCGGGACGCTGGGCTGCGCCGTGGGCTGAGGCTGCAGGAGCTGCCGGGAGCTGCCAGGTGGCCAGGGGATACGCGAAGCGTCAACATAATCGAAAGGAAGCCGCATCACAGCGATTAATTACGCACGTATGTCATCTCGGAACATATAGATCTTAAGGTGGCTCCAGTGAGAGCCGCATTTTGACAAGGAGCCGCCATCCATTCGTCCAACTGCCCCGATCGTTGAACGAATGTGCGCGGTGCTGAGGCGAGAGCCTTATTGTGGAACCGATGCTCTCATCCGAGCATATAATTTTTTTTGAAGGAAGGAGATGGAGAACCGCCGCGAATCTCCAATGACTGCCACAACGCGCACGCTGCCTGTTGAAAGCGCCGGCCTGGGCGAACAAATACTGCCCCCCCGGGAAAAGACGGCCGCTTACCCGAGGAGCCACCTGTGACAATTATTGCCCGGGCGAGCGGTTGGGAACAGGGCGGAAATTCGGGCAGTTATAACGATACAAATTCACACGAAAATGTATCGGCGCTGCGCCGGGAGCGAGGCGAGGGGAGGAGGAGAGGGAACATCAAAACAACGAACGAGCAGCACTGCCACCACGGGAGGACCAACACCCGCTGGGAGCGCAGCGACTCCTCCGAGCCGCACGACATTACTCGTGCATCAGACACTCGCGGCAGGAACCCCCTAGTATTCCAAAGGACCAGGCAACATGCATGGCGCCTCATCTGTCGGGACGGGACAGCCAGAAGAGAGAGCTGGACTCACAGCATACCGAGAGAGGGCTAACACTATCCCCAAGATAGTAAAACAAACGGGAAAATGACAGAGACCATGTGCAAGCAGGTCGAACCAAGCTGCCACTGCAGCGGAAGAAACGAGACACTGAGCATTAAACCTAGAAAAGAGAGAGAGAGAGAGAGAGAGAGAGAGAGAGAGAGAGAAAGAGAGAGAGAGAGAGAGAAAGAGAGAGGGAGAGGAGGAGACAGGGGAGGGAGGGGGAGAGCAGTCCCGACCCCGCTAGGGGACGGACAGAGGATCCTAAGCAATGCCTCGGATCCACCTGCCAAGAAGGGGGAGGGAGGAGGACGGGGAGGACGGAAGAGGGAGGAAGAGGGGGAGGAAGAGGAGGAGCATATCAATTCTACGATCGTCGCCGCACGGCGTGCCGCGGCCATGGCAGGCCGGCGCGGATGCTTCTACGTGGGCGGACCTGGCGACAGCCAGCCAAGAGCGACAACAGACCGTGCAGAGGGAGGGAGAGGGGAAGGAGAGAGGAGGAAGAGAGGGAGGGGAGGAGGAACGCCCGCGACGACCGTCGCGTTCGACCACTCGCCGCCCTCCACGCGGTCGGCACTGCGAATGGAACGCTGGCCTCAGAGGGGGGCGAACGCAGCGCCCGCGAGCGGTCTCCTCCACCAGCTCGGCCTTGGGACGCCTCGCCGTCAGGCCGACGGCAAAGCGCAACGCGCCACCTCCGTTTCCGTCAGGTGCCGCTTCAGGCGCATGGCCGCGCGAGCGAAGCCAACCTCCTTCCGAACCATGGCCTTGTCCTTCTTCGTGACGCCCGTGGCCGTGAAGAATCTGCTCTGGGACTCGACGACTTCGAGGATCGAGGTTGGATCCGCCTCAGGACTCTGAGACAAGATGCGAATGAGACCCATCGCTTCCAAGTGCGCCGCAGCATCCTCCCCCGAGAGCAGGCTCTGTGCAGACTTCGGCGCCCCGGCATCTCCCCGAGCAGGGCTCCTCATCGTGCCGTCGGCGTCCTCGTGCACCCCCGCGTGTCGGTCAGCGTCGGGTGGGGCGTCGCGAATGGCGTCGGGTGGCAGGGCGTCGGGTAGGGCGTCGGGCGGGGCGTCGGGTAAAGAGTCGTGGTCCCCGACGTCCTTCGTCTTCTCACCGATGCCCTCGACGTCCCCCTGGGCGCCGTCCGGATTGGGGGAACGGCCATCGTTCATCTCGTCGCTGTCGAAGCCAAGCTTGCTCTGGCACCTGCTCTTGCCTTCCTCTGGCCATTCGGCGGGCGACGCTGCGCCGCCCGCGGACGCCTCGATCCGGAAGCTCACGTTCAACATGTTCTTCACAACAACTGCCTGCGCCAGCGCCGCAGGCTGAGGCAGCGCTGCGAGGAGCGCCAGTGGAAGAACGCCTCGAATGCAGTTCCGATGATTCGAGTCCTGTCCTTCGGGATCCCCCCGCTCGCCGTCGCGCGTCTCGAAGCCGACCTGCTCGCAGACCTGGTTGTGGAAGATATCCTCGGAGTCCTCACGCTCGGAGTCCTGCCCGAGGGAACTCTCCTCTGCGACCGCAGTCGACTCGAGGCTGCGATCGATACTCTTGTCCTCGTAGTTCATCTCGGAGCGCTCCGCAGAGGCCACCATACCCAAGCACCAATCCAGGTCGTACATCTCTTCCAGGTCGAGCGTGTTGGTCGCCGCCGCCGCTGCTGCCGCCTCCGCCGCGCGTCGGCGGTAGCGGCGGCGGCGCCGCGACGCCGCCTCGGAAGGCAACGGCCGCGTTCCACCCATCCTGCCGCCACGGCCCAGCACCGGCCCGGCGCGTAGCGGGCGGGCGGGCGGGCGAGCGGTGGCCCAAGCCCGTCTTGAGCCAGGTGGACCAGGCTCTTGAGCCAAGGACTTGAGCCAACTCATCCGAGCATATAATTGGGGCCTGTTGCGTAAAACAACTGTGCGCGGCGCTACGGCGAGATCAACATTAAAAACCACACAAACACACACACACACACACACCACTCCATCCGTTCAACCGTTGGGCATTTCAATATTCACGACCACACTGCGCAACGAAGCCGAGGGCGACCCGCCCGGGTCCTCCCTGCCGACACTGCTTGTGGCACAGCGAGGAGGAGCTGTTTGAAGGAGGCTCTGCTGCAAACCTTCGCCCGCGGACGTGTCACGCACCACCTCCGCGCCAACCTGCAGGGGACTGGACGGAGCTGCTGGATCACGTGCTCTTCGACTGCCTCGAACAGCTTGCTGGCGGACCCATCGGACCCCCACCGGCGCCTCCAAACCACACTGCGCCTCGCCGACGGCGGGTGCGCCCTCCCCTCGGCCACCCTGACGGCGCCCGTCGCCTACGCCGCCAGCTGGGCCTTCTTGCTCCGCGACGTGATGGCCTGTGTCGGGGCCAGCTCGCTGGAAGAGGTCCCAGCCCGTTGCCCGTGCCGCAGACGTCCCCCAAGCTCCCTTCGACTGGACTGATTGGCTGCACTGCAGCACCACGACCCAAGCTGCAGGCCCACTGGGGCAATGCCCACTAGGGCAATGCTGCGGCCACACGACGAGGACCGCCGCCTACGCTTGCGAGAGAACGGAGGCACAGGAGCTGGCAACTGTTCCTCCCGCGCCAGCCGGGCGACCCCAGCCAGCCCGACGCGCACTTCCACGGCAACCTGAGGCGGCGGCTCTGCATCCCCAATACACAAGAAAGTCACAGGCTTCGCGGCGCCCACGGAGCAGGCTGTCCCTGGCTGGGATCGCCACACCCCCCGCACGGGAGTGCTCCAGCAAGCTGTTTTCGACCTCTCCACCAGCGACCCGGCCACAGGCCGCCAGATCTTCGTCGACTGGTGCATCACCTGCGTACACTCAACCTACTCTCCACGAAGGGATGCCCGCGCCGACAAGGATGGCTTGGCGGCCGCCCGGGCGATGAACAAGAAGCGAGAGCGCTACCTCCCCACGGGGGCGAGCTGATCCCGCTCGTCTTCGAAACGAGGGGCTGGCACAGCGACGAAGCAACCAGCTTCATCCGCAGCTGCGGAACGGACTTGAACGACGGCGAACGCTCCGAGCTGCTGGGCGGCCTCTGGCGGAAAATCAACAGAACCCTCCGCAGGGGTAATGCTGTCATGCTCCTGAGCGCGATCGGGAACTAGGCCAGCAGCGATGCCAGCGACCACGCCGACGACGACCACCAGCACAACGACCACCGCGACCACTTACGACAGGACACGACCAACTTCACGATCACCTTCACGACGCGCCCACTACCGCGACCTCCACTAAAACCACCACGGCCACCACCAGCGCCACAACCCTCATGACCACTACGACAGGACACGGCCACCACCACGATAGCCACGACCACCACCACGACCGCAGACAAAGACGATGAGACGATGAGGACAGGGAGAAGGAAAGGGAGGAGGAAGAGGATGACGACGACAAGGATGATGAAGGAGGGGGGGAGGCAAGAGAAGGAGGAGAAGGGGACGAGGATGAGGTAGAGGAGGAGGAGGAGCAGCAGGAGGAGCAGGGAGGGAATCACGAGGAG